TACTGTACAGTAATGCCACTGTTTTGCACATGTCTCACTCTGTATATTTTATTTTATTTATTTTATATATTTTATTTATTGTTTACTCTATTTAATTTGTAAAATATGTGTACACACACACACACACACACACACACACACACACACACACACACACACGTAGAAAATATTTAGTATACACATCCAGAAATGCATACACTATTATATATTGTACATATATTTATTAGTTTCAGATGTAGCCATTCTTGTATTTTGCTTGTTTACATTATTGTATTTTGCACAACTCTGTTGCTTGTGAAGCTCGCACACAAGAATTTCACTCACATGTGCTGTACCAATGTACCTGCACATGTGATGTGACAATAAAAGTGATTTGATTTGATTTGATTTAAAGTTGAAAGTTTAAATGTTGTAAGTCCGATAGAGAGAGCATGATAACGTGTGGGTGGACATTGGGCGATTAGACGTTAATAATGTCATTGGATGTCCCCGGGGGTGAGGTTAGATGTCACTTCAGATGTGATGTCCAGTGGGTGAATGGGGAGAAAGGGTGAGCAGTTTAAAAGTGAGGGGCGATTTGGGGTTCTTCCCTTTTGTCTTCTATGAGATGAGAAGTTCACACAGTGGAAAGCCACAGCCTGAACTGTGAACATGCAAACTGGTTTTGTACTTTTTGGCTTTTCATCTGCTCAATTTTGCTGTGATGGTTCATTCAGAAGGAGTTTGGTTCATCTTACTCCCCCTGAATCCCCAGCTGCTTTCCTGTAGGGTGATTACCATCAACTCAGAACATGGGGATAAGTGGATCTTTAGGTTGTGCTCATCCTTTCTCCAAGCTCTCCCCACCAAAGATAAGAACAAAATCAGCATTAGCTCAGACCAGGTTAATTAGATACGTATAGTTTACATATAGTTCAAGTGTTTTATGATTATTACTATTTGCCTTTGCTTTTGCTTTCTGGCAATTAAAGTGTAAATTGTGGACCTTCACTTTTTAACTCTTTGTTAGACAGTAAAGGTAAAAGTCTGAGTACTGATTTTGATCAGTGCAAATAGCTTTTACAGTTTACCCTAGCCTGTTAAAATAATCTTCCCTTGGGCCCTTTCCTCAGAAATTACAAGTGCCATGATCAATAGGGGAGCTACCGTAAACCAATGGGACTGACAGTATTTGATCTGCAAGGCTACTCAGTTTTCTTCTTATCTGGGTTAGCAGTTGACCTCTGCATACCTATTGGGTAAGACTCATAGGACCAAGAGCTGAAACAGACTTCCTGTATAGGGGTTGGGGGCCCATGCAGATCAAGAGTATAACAGAGAGCTATCAGGAAAAAAGGTTTTTCCTCTAGTTTGCGTCACCACGTAGTGACGCAGCTATCACTTTGTATTTAGTCAGGTGGATTATGTAACGCAATACCCAGAAGCAGTGCCGCTGCGCAGGCGCTGTTGCAGATCATCTCCCATGTTGGCATCCCGAAAGAGATATTGACTGACCAGGGCTCATCGTTCATGTCTCGCACCCTGAATGTCTACCACCCTCAGACTGAAGGAGTGGTGGAGCGGCTGAATAAGACTTTAAAGTCCGTGACTCGGAAGCTCATTCACGAGGATGAACATAATTGAGATCGCTGGTTAGACCCTCTGTTGTTTGCAGTGTGGGAGGTGCCCCAGGCTTCCACCAAGGGATTTTCAGGAAGCTGCAAGGGGTGCTCAACCTTATTAGAGAAAACTGGAGGAAGGTCTGAGTCCAATGAAAAATGAGATTCAGTACGTTCTGGATTTGTGAGCAAAACACACTTTTGGGAGGTTGTCATGGGAGAATTTGCGTGATGTTAACATCTGTACAACAGAGGGGCTAGAATCAGGCAATTTTAACAGGGAGATAAAGTGCTTGTATTGCTTCCCTTCTCCAGCTCAAAATTACTTGCCAAGTAGCAAGGGCCCTTGGTGGTCCCACGGCGAGTGGGGGATGTCGACTATGAAGTGATATGGTCGGACAATGGAGGGTCCATGCATATCACCTCAACCTCTTCAAAGCATGGAGAGAGACTGCAGCCGCTTCTCTGGTGAGCCTGGTGACAGAGACGAGCTGGGGCCAGAGGTACCAAATGCCACCATTCCTGCCTCCCTCCATTGTGATAACCATGTCGCACAGACCTAGAGAGCGGATGTTGGCGGATTGTTGCAGATGTGTTCTCCCCCCCACTCGGCCATATGAGTCTCATCGAGCACCATTTTCATACACAACCTGGCATGATGGCACGTTCACTGCCATACAGGCTACCTGAATATAAAAGTCAAATTGTTCAGAGGTATTTGGCTGAGATGCTGTGGATGGGAGTAATAGAAGAGTCAAACAGCGTGGTGTAGCCTACTTGGATGATGTTATCATCCATAGTGACACCTAGTCGGAGCATGTGCAGCGGGTGACTGCAGTCCTGGAGTCCCTGAGGCAGGTGGGGCTCATGGCCAACCCAAAGAAGTGTGCAGTTGGACGGAGGGAGGTACAGTATCTAGGGTAGCACTTGGGGGAAGGAAGGTGTGTCCACAGATGGAAAAAAACAGCAGCAATTGCCAAGATCAAAAAGGAAGTGAGACAGTTCTTGGGGCTGACAGGGTACTACCACTGGTTCGTGCCTGGGTTTGCAGACCTGACCTTCCCCTTAATTGAGCTCACCCGAATGGGTGCTTCAGACCTGGTCCAGTGGACGGAGTCGTGGCAGGTGGAGTTTGTGCAGGTAAAAATGGCTATGTGGGGAGCAGCTGCTCACAGTCCTGACTCCCCCCCCCCCCCCCCCTTATCCTCCAGACTGACGCCTCGATGGTCAACTCTCTTTGTTATTACCTGCTGGGGCGCTCATACACCCTCTGCTCAGACCACGCCCTGCTGCAATGGCTTCACCGCATGAAAGATGCCAACGCCCGGATCACCTGGTGGTATCTGGTTTTACAGCCCTTTAAACTTCAACTTGTCCTACTTCCTGTCTCTGGACAAGAAATTTAGCTGGTTTAATTTATCTGTTTCATATATGCTGTTGAACTGTAGGTGACCTGTGTAAAGTGACGTGTTTCTGCCTTACAGAAGAGTAGTAGTAAAAATGGGGGAGGACCCCTTATATGGAGGGTCAGTTTGTATCCTCACTACAACCCCACAATTGCCTCGTGCTGGCTGAATTCCTTCTTGCAAGAATAAAGCGCTCAAATGGAAACTGAGCAGTGTCACCTCTTTTATTTAATGCACTAAACTTCCATAACACTCCTTTTTGATTAGTACACAGAATTTATGAACATTTATGGTTTGAGTTGTTTTGGATGTGTCAATTGAATGGGTTGCTACTAAATCTGGTGGGAATTTCATGTCAATAGCACCTTTATATTCAATGCTTATTTCACGCGCTGTATTATAATGTCTCAGTTAAAGCCAAGGACCTCAGCAGGCTCCACTGAACTTCACTTAAACCAGTGTTGGTTGGTCTGACTAATACGCAGGTACATGTTTGATCCATATTTTTATCTTCTGTTTTTATTAACTGCATTTTGTCCTTGTTAAGTTAAAGCTGAAATAAAAATGTTCAGCTCTATCTGTTAAAATTCAAGCTTTAAGTAATACGCTTTTGTCTTCTACTGTTTTGTTAATATGGAAGTGCTGGACCGGGCCACACTTACTCAGTCCAGCCTCAGTTACTACACGATACTACGGAGACTCCTGGTACTGGTGCTCCTCTGAAAATGGCTTTTTCTTGTACTCACACACATATTCAAGGTGAACATACTCACAGTTGATTTAAGTAAGTATGATTAACCTATTTTAGAACTGAAAAGTCAGTTGTTAGACTCTGTTTGCTGAACCTGCTTTCTAGAATCAGACTCAAACACAGGCAACAACAACAAAAACTAACAGATCACTAACAGGAAGAGGAAAAAAGGACGATAAAGAGAAGAGAAATCTAAAATGAGACAACAGAAAACTAGCCTTAAAAATAAAACAAGAAGTAAACAGAAGATAATTAGCATCAAGACAAAAAGAGACAAGGAAAAACTAAATTAAGGCATTAAGGCAAAGACAGCAAAAATATTTAAATATAAGAAAAAACTGGTTCTAAAAATATAAAAAGTATTAAAATCATACCAGGACTTAAAGTTCAGCATTATCTCACTGTCTAAAAATAATCACTAGGATAAAAAAAGAAATAAGAGCTACAGCTTATTATTATCAGAGAAATAAAAGCAGGAATCCCAAATTCAACTTACAAAGCAAATCCTTGGGACCTTGATAGAGCCAATAATTTCACGATTAATGATAATGCAACAACATCTTGCTATCATGTGAAAAACTCAATTCCTCAATCTATAAGTGACTGAGAGCAACTGAAATGGTGTCGTCAGCCCTCTGAAGCCTTTGAACCTTTCTCTGGTGTTTTGCAACATTTTTTTAACATCTGTATTTTCTGTAACTCCTGAACCAGCAGGTAAATTGTAAGAATTTCAATGGTTCCTGAACGCAGTGACTCATTTCAGTGATATTAGGATGATTACAGTAATTCAAGGCATAGGGTCACAGCAGCCAAAAGTTGGTTGAGAGAAGAGAAAGTGAGTGTGACGACGTTTTTTTATCTAACAGTTTGAGGGTTTTCTTTTAACTGTTTTTTGTTGTTTTCTGTGTTTCTTGCAGAGATTGTCGTGGCCAACCTGGCATTACTGTAATGACTGTAATGATATCACTGAAAAAGCACAGAGTTGAAGAAACCATTGAATTTTTTTGATTATGCCAGTGGTTCAAGAGTTTTGGTAGTTTGATGTAAAAGTTTGACCTAAAACTGATGATTATTTTAATGTGAGTGCAAACCAGTGTGAAAGAATAACAACCCAAAAATTCATTTTCAGATTATCCCATTACAAATCAACTCAAACATCATTTGCATCAATTTTCAATATGAGACAGCTAAGATGTATTTTGAATGTTGGTTATTATGAACAGACAGAATGTCCAGTGAACTTACAGGAAGTCCAAGATGGCCTCTGTCTCCCTTGTCGCCTTTCTGACCCGTCGCTCCCTTTTCTCCTCGGATTCCAATTCCTGGCTCTCCCTGAGTTAAAAGGTAAGAGATACAATACAATCCTTACACTTTCCTACATAAAATCAATGATATGATATGATATTGACAACATATAACTAGAGGCAAATTTAATAACCGTAGAAAGTGGGTAATATCATAGTTTGTTCTCACCTTAGGCCCCGATGGTCCTTGTGGTCCCTAGAGGAACAAAACAGTGAAATTTATTTCAATTCACTTTTATTTATATACTGCCACTCACAACAACAGTCATACTAAAGTGCTTCATATTGAAAGGTAATGACCCTCCAATAAAACAGAGAGAACAATCAAACGACCCCAATGGCGACAGTAGGAAGGAAAAGCTCCCTTTAAACAGGAAGAAACCTCTGGCAGAACCAGGCTCAGGGAGGAGCGGCCATCTTCTGCAATCGGTTAGGGAGTGAGTGGAGGACGGCAGGATAAAAGGACGAGATAAAAGTACATGGAGGACAAGAGTCAAAGCTTTAAAATAAGTAACGATTAAATTCAGAGTTATGTATAAAGACATGGTGAGTGAAATAAAGGTGAGTGAAGAAGAAACACCAAGTGCATCATGGGAAGTCCCCAGCAGCATAGACCTATCCAGAGTTTTCAGTCACATGACTGACTCACTACCCTGGCATGCAAAATATGGTCAGAAGTGGACAGTAGGTGGTGCTGTAGGAAAAGTATTTTTCTCGCCTATATCAAGCAACTACTCGAAAAACAAACATATGAAGAGAAACAATGAATTTTAGGGACTTGTGATCCATATTTTGCTCTGGCAGCTTTATGTAAATACCTAAAATACCTAAAAGTGCCAATGTCTCTCCCAGAGCTCCAGTTCAGTGACATCTATGTGCATCTTGTAGAACAGGGGTCGGCAACCTTTCTGATGATGAGTGCCTCTAAAATTCCCTCAGAGGTCATTGTGCCATATGACTGCATTAGCAATGAATTTAATAACGCTCTATATGAACAGTTACTCACTATATAGATCAACTTTACAGAATTATATTTGTTCGCAGATGTTGGCAGCTATTAGCGAATAGTTATCAGCTATTTAGAAACAAAAAAAGACTTTTTATCCTTAACAGCAAATCAGAATCAGAATCAGAATACTTGAACTAAATAAATGAACTGTACAACAGAAAATACAAATGCTATTTATGGTCTCCTCCCAACAATGATAAGAAAAATAAACTAAGCCAATATGGCATGTTTGTTAATACAGAGACACACATGTTAATGTGATCTCTGGTCTCCCACTCAGAGACACAGGTCTCCGAGTGTCCAGCATTCAGAGGCTACCTGAGGACTCATGTGAGAGAAAATCTGCTCACACAGACATGTAGAGCCAAACACTGTCAATAAGGCCTCTGCAATGTTCTGAAGACAGTTAAACTTGTCAGGTAGTGACGTCCAGCAGGTGAACATGCAGCTCCATGAACACGCACAGCTGTGGATTCCAGCTGCGTTCATAGTTCTGCAAACTTCTGCAAACTGACCCCACAGTGTCGAGCTTTTCAGTTCAATCAGCTGCATTTCGATGTCGCATTAACTGGCATTAAACCAGCCAGTTAATGCAAGATAAACCCAGCTGCTCTTTAAAGCTTTCTGGTTTGATCAGTATTGAGTCTTCGGATGTATCCGTGTATTTCCGTGGTGCTGATGCTGCGCTGAGCGGACAGCTGCTGAAGCATTTGAAGTGTCAGAATGTGGAAATTTAAACATCGCTTGAAAAAACTGCCAGCTAACAACGTCCCTCTCACCGGTAGTTACTTTTAGCCAGTTACAAGTTGATCTGGTAGTTGGGGTTGTTAGCTAAGATACCGACATTAAGAAGCGGCACAACTAATGTGTGTATGCGAGCTAATTTGCGATGTGCACCGCTGGCCCGGCCATTTATTTTTTAATGCACCTGCTCAGATTAGTTCACTGCGTGTCGTGCCCAAGGCTGGACTGGGACAAAAAAATCTTCATTTTGACTGGAGACCGGCCCCCCAGGTCTTAAAGCCATAAAGCCTTTGAATGAAAACAGACGCTGTTGTGACAGTGATGTACAGTCTTGTTGGTATATGTATGATTTCTGTACATTTTACGTCAGATAAAAACTTTGGTTGTAAGATTCAGATAATTATTTATTAAAAGTGAGATATTTTAAATGAGAATAAGAAAGAAAAGTATTTCTTTGTGCCCCCTCTCCCTGTTAATGCCCTACCTGCCCCCCTGGCAAAACTTTGCTAGACCCGCCCCTGCACAGTTACCAGCTGTCAGCTACTTAGAAAAGGATCCTGGTGTTATTTGTCTCTCAGAAACAGTTCATAACTTCAACTCATTCATGTCACCTAAAAGGTAAACCTGTTTCTCCATCACTGTTCAGCTCTGATGATTCAGTAAGGACATCTCCTGGTTTCATCTTCATGTTTCCCTCTCACCACATATCCAAACCGACATCATGACCAGCAGCTTTACAGCTGTGGCTCCAGCAAACATCAGCTGATACTAGAAATGAATATTAAATCAATTCTAACAACAGCTGATCAAGCTTAAACGTGCTGCTGTTGTTTAGCGCGACATCGGCTGGTTTCCTGTTTCTGGCGCAAAGTGGGAGATAAACAAACAAGAGAGCCGATCAGCTGATCACTGATCAGTTTCATGATTGAAGTAGCAACAGGAGAGGGAGGGGGAGAGAATGAGAGGAGAAGAGGCAGCTGCAGCGTAAAGATGCAGAATAACTCCAGCGTTGTGTCTTTTTCCATTCTAGCTGAAGTACAAACTGTGTTCCTTTTCAGCTCAATACGAAACGCGTAATATTTTCTCTGAATGCGGGACGATTCCGTTTTTTACAGGTCAGTTGGAAACTCTACTAACTAACCTTACAAATAAGTTCACTCTCACTAACATCATAGCACCCATCCAGCTGTATAGAAACTCCGTCATGCTAGCTAGTACGCAGTACGAGTTATTGTAACTGACGGTAAAAAGTCAGCATAACGAAAATAAACTCCACCTAAACTTGGTTTATATCTGACCCAGATAGACTGCAGGTCATAACTTCTTACCTGAAGTTCAGTTCACCTGACACTCGGACCGGCGGCCACTTCCGGTCTCTCCTCCTCCTGCCTCCCCTTTCCCTCATCCACCTGCTGGCCTCTGTGGGAGCTCCGCCATAGCCACAACCAAACAACTGAGTTATTTTTACACATCAACCAGCATCTGGCCAATCCACCACCTTTCATTGTTTATGCCGTTACAAAAAAAAGAAAAAGACATCGGCCCATAAAAACGAAAAATCACCATCGACCCACCAGGCAAATGTCTGGTATGCCCGATGGCCAGTCCAGCTATGGTCGTGCCATCAGTTAACCCTTCGCATGCCAGATGTGGCACGCGTGCCCAGGGTTGCCGACCCCTGTTGTAGAAAATCACTGACCTTACGCTGATGCCAGGATGCAACCTTTCAAACTATGGACTTCTACGTCTATTTTCAATTTGGATGGGTAAATAATATTGCTATGTGGAAGCCAGAGATGGGCAGTGTTACTGCCATGTTAAGGGATTACTTTTTTGGGAGAAGTAATCAGTAATTAGTAACTAATTACTTTTTTCAAGTAACTTGACCAACACTGGTGGAAGCTGAAGAACAAGAAAGTGTTCATCATTAAAGCAAAGGTAAGTGTCGCATAGCTATCTTAAATAAACTACCACACCTAAATCTTATGCTTGGTTGACTTGGGCTTTCACTGTGTATGACTAGAAAGGTTCCAGTAGTACTAATTTGTCACATTAACGTCATGTCAAAACAGTAAAGTTGAAAGAGTGTTTTTCCAGCGTCAGGTTAACCATTCCTGGAGTTTAAATTAGCCACCTCTGAGAGCCTGGATTGTTGTGGAGATTAGTGCGATTTGGCCTGTAAGGCAGGTAAAGAGATGTGTCCTCACATGTTTGTGCTATACTCAACGCCCTTCTGGCAGCTGTAAATAAATGCTGATTAGTGCATCCCATAGCACAGGAACTATCTGCCGTTTTGGCCTTCAAGCCACACGTTGAACTTGATGTTTAAAGGGAGTCATGCTAATTTCACATGTAGCATCCACGTACAGCTTGTTACAAGCAGGTGTGGGGCCTGACTGACCACAGGGCAACATAAACGTAAGACCATGTACAGGGGCCCAGCTTCCTGTCCCCCCTGGTAGGACACTTAACATGTTGGTGGAATTTGGGGAGTTTAGATTTCAAACCACAGGGCACTGTTTGAGGCCCTGCAGTAATGCTCCAGTCTGTGGCTCCAACTTCGTCCCAAACTTTACACCAATCATCAATATTTAGCAGGTGGTTTTGATGGTATTGCTTGTTTATGTATTTGACCGTATTAGAAGGCTCATTAGATCATACTGAGGTTGTAGAGGAAGTTTGCTACTCAATCCCCGGCTCTTTGAGTTATCTTTCACAGTATTCTTGGGTAAAATACTGAACCCCAATTTGTCCACAGTGTATCCATGTGAATGTGCATGTAAATGCTAAATAAATGGCTTAGACATAGATAAGCACTGTGTGAATGTGTGTGTGATTGGGTGAACGAAAAACATGCTTTTAGTGCTCAAACTGGGTATAAAGACAATAAGGACAGGAGGTAAGCATCCTATTTATCATTTAAAGACATGGTTAGTGTGTCACATGAAACACCTTTACAGTTATGCATTACTTTTGTTTTTAAAGATAAGAGTTACGCGGCATATCTGACTTACTGCTGGGCCAGCTGGTCCTGGGGGTCCTGGAGGACCATAGATCTAAAGGCAGGGTATACACAGTTTTAAAAGTAGTGCTTATAAGGCACTGACAAGCAGAAAATTATAAAACTCAGTTTATAAATAATCCTTACCGATTCTAACCTTCCTCCATCTCCAGGTTCACCTTTTGGACCCTGTAACAATATGTGGGAAAGACACAGGGACAAAGGGTTCGTGATATATTTCCATATTTTACAAAACTATTACAGGACATCTGTGATTTCATACTACACTTGTGCGATTTGATACAGCACTTGGAGCACAGCATTTCACTACCTCACAGCCATCTAACCAGCCATCTCTTGCAGCTTGAGAGGCAACACTGCATAGCATCGTACACAGGAACCATTTGTTAGGGGAACATTTCAGTGTACTATAAGGTCACATAGTTATCAAATCAAATCAAATCACTTTTATTGTCACATCACATGTGCAGGCACACTGGCACAGCACATGCGAGTGAAATTCTTGTGTGCGAGCCCCACAAGCAACAGAGATGTGCAAACACAACAACACAAACGAGCAAAATACAAGAATGGCCAACCTGAAACTAATAAATATATGTACAATATATAATAGTGTATGCATTTCTGGATGTGCATACTAAATATTTTCCTACATGTGTGTGTGTGTGTGTGTGTGGTGTGTGTGGTGTGTGTGTGTATACATATTTTTACAAATTAAATAGTAAAAAAAAAAAAAAAAAAAAAAATAATAATAATAATAATAATAATAATAAAATATATAAAATATACAGAGTTGAATATGTGCAAAACAAGTGGCATTTATATACAGTGTGGAGTGCATAATGTTGAAGTTCCAGTAGTGAAGCTGAGGTGTCTATGACGTGTTCAGCAGTCTGATGGCCTGATGGAAAAAGCTGTCTCTCAGTCTGCTGGTACGGGACCGGATGCTGCAGAACCTCCTTCCTGATGGAAGCAGTCTGAACAGTTTATGGCTGGGGTGACTGGAGTCCTTGATGATCCTCCCCGCTTTCCTCAGGCAGCACTTCCTGTAGATGTCTTGGAGGGAGGGAAGCTCACCTCCAATTATCTGTTCAGAGCACCGCACTACTCTCTGGAGAGCTTTGCAGTTGTAGGCGGTGCTGTTGCCATACCAGGTGGTGATGCATCCAGTGAGGATGCTCTCAATGGCACAGTGATAGAAGGTCCTGAGGATGCGGGGGCTCATGCCGAATCTTTTCAGTCTCCTGAGAAAGAAGAGGAGCTGCTGCGCCTTCTTCACTGTTTTGTTTGTGTGTACTGACCACGTAAGATCCTCAGCCAGATGTACTCCAAGGAACCGGAAGCTGCTCACTCTCTCCACAGCAGCGCCGTTGATGGTGATGGGGGTGTGTACTTCTCTGCACCTCCGGAAGTCCACTATCAACTCCTTTGTCTTTGCGACGTTGAGGGTGAGATGGTTGTCTTGACACCAGTGGGTCAGGGCGCTGACCTCCTCCCTGTAAGCCGTCTCATCACCGTTGGTGATAAGACCCACCACTGTAGTGTCGTCCGCAAACTTCACAATGATGTTGGAGCTGTTAGTGGCTGTGCAGTCGTAGGTGTAGAGTGAGTACAGGAGAGGGCTCAGTACACACCCCTGTGGAGCACCAGTGTTCAGTGTGATGGGGGATGAGGTGATGCTGCCCAGTCTGACCACTTGGCGTCTGTCAGACAGGAAGCTAAGGATCCAGCTGCAGAGGGAGCTGCTCAGTCCTAGATCCTGCAGTTTCCTGTCCAGCTTCGAGGGAACGATGGTATTGAATGCTGAGCTGTAATCTACAAACAGCATTCTCACATACGTGTCTCTCTTCTCCAGGTGTGACAGGGCAGAATCAGAATCAGAATCAGAATACTTTATTGATCCCTGGGGGAAATTATTTAGTGTGTAGTGTGTAATTATTAATTAGTGTGTAGTGTCAGGGCTATGGCATCATCAGTGGACCTGTTGTGGCGGTATGCAAACTGTAGAGGGTCCAGTGAGTCGGGTAGTGCAGAGCAGATGAAGTCCCTGACCAGCTTCTCGAAGCATTTGCTTACGATGGGGGTCAGGGCTACAGGTCGCCAGTCGTTTAATGAGGAGATGGTGGAGGATTGGGTACAGGGACGATGGTGGCCATTTTGAAGCAGGCTGGGACTACAGACAGAGAGAGGGAAAGGTTGAAGATGTGCGTGAACACTCCAGCCAGCTGAGCCGCGCATGACTTGAGGACGCGGCCGGGAATCCCGCCCGGACCAGTAGCTTTGCGTGCGTTCACCTTCCTGAAGCACCTCCGCACATCCTCCTCAGACACAGTGTGCGCACTGACGTCATCCGCGGTGCGCACACTGTCCGGTCTCATGGTGTTCGCTGTGTCGAATCTAGCGTAGAATACGTTTAGATCCTCACACAGAGAGGCCGTGGTCTGCGGTGTGCTGGTTTTCCCTCTAAAGTCTGTGATCGTGTTTAGTCCCTGCCACATACTCCGAGGGTTGTCAAACTGTTGCTCCACCCTGTCCCTGTACTCACGTTTGGCTGCTTTGATCGTCTTCCGGAGTTGGTAATGTGCGTGTTTGTAGTCCGATGTGTTCGCGGAGGCAAAGGCGGTGTTCCGTGCCGCGCGAACATCTCCGTTAATCCAGGGTTTTTGATTTGGGAAGGATTTAACTGTTCTGGATGGGACGACATCTTCCACGCATTTCCTGATAAATCCACAGACTGAGTCTGTGTACTCATCAATGTCTCTGGCGGCCACGTGAAACATTTCCCAGTCCGCGTGATCAAAACAGTCCCGCAGCGCAGACTCCGATTGGTCCGTCCAACAGTGCATGGGGCCTGGTGCCTACTTTGTTTTACATTTTGTATGTCTTACTGTCAGACATCTGTTGCATAACCCGAGTCTTATACAGCAAATCTCACCCAAGTAGTGAAGATCTACAAGGTTTCTAAGCATATTAAATTCATAAATATATAATGCACCTAATTACTGCTGCAACAATTCATCGGCATAATCATAATGTCATTGACTATAAAAATTTGTTGATGCACAATTTTATCATTGACAGGTCATATACTAACATCACGTAAATGTGTTTTTGTAACTGCAATAAGCTTCAGGAAGCGATGGGGGCAGTATCGCCTCTATCGTCTGCCAAGACTTCACTAAATACTAACAAAGAAGAACATGTTGTGAATGCAAACATGAGGATGGAAGAAAAGGGAAACTGAGATTTTAAAATACGCAACAGCATTTCACAGAAAACTGCACAGAAGTGCATTCGGGGTGGGCGAGGTTGAGATGGTTTGCTAAAGGTGGGCTGATCAATCCAAATATTTGTTCTGATATCAGATTGATTCTAACACTATAGGATAGAGACATTATTTCTATCCTCCAAGTTCAGTAAATAGTTTTTAACAAATAAATATTTTTTGAAAGATCTACTTCAAACATGCACAAATATTAAAAATATGTCCCAGCATTGACAGATTCCAAACAATCTGTATTTTTCCCCCAATAAATTTGTTAGAAGAAATTTTAAAATAAGATGTCCTGATCCACCAAATATAGCAAATGCATCAGTTAATTTCTTGCACAGAACTCCAACTTACAGTCTTTGACACTCTCGGGGTCTCTTCCAAGTCTTTAATTAGATAAGAGTGTAGCGAGAAAGACCAAGATGTACCCTCTGGATGACAACGATGTGGAACAGTGATAATGTGGAACTTCAAAGACAGTTGTGTGGTTAACGTAGTCACTTACAGGTGATCCAGATGGACCCATGTCACCCTTGGTGCCTTTGGGTCCTGGAAAGCCCATGACACCTCCCTCTCCTCTGGGACCTTCAGGACCTGCCGGGCCCAGGAGACCAGGTTCTCCAGGCTTCCCTCGAGGTCCCTGAAAATAGAGGATCATAAGTTGCTCCACTTTATTAAATGTAAACAACAGAAATCTGCATGAATTAAATGTGTGTTATATCAAATCAGTGATGGTTAAGTGTAATTATCACCCACACTCTTGGATTTTAGGAACCTCATAAAATCAGACCTGAGTAATAACATGGAGACAACATAATATTACCTTCTCTCCATCCAGTCCTGGTGGACCTGGTAGACCAACTTCACCCTAAGGACAAACCAAGGTCGCATTACCAACTAGGCAAACCAGACAATTGTCTTCGTTTACAATAACTGCACATCCACACCAATGTCATTATGACTGAAAGAGAAACCTCTTTTAACACAGCCTGTTTGTTTGTTTTAATGCAGACTCTTGCAGCTCTATCTGCAAATCAACATTTTTAAGCAATACCAGACTAGACATTCATGCTATTATGTAAAATGTCGCATTGGGTTGGCTGCAGGTAGAGCAGGTCATCTGCTGATTGGAAGTTTGGTGGTTCATTTCCAGTCTGCATGTCAAATATCCTTGGGCAGGATACTAACCTCAACTGGAGTATGAATGTGTGCGAATGTTAGCAGTTATGTAGAAACAGAATAGGAAAAAACTGCTTGTATGAGTGGGTGAATGAGGCATTGTCAGTGCTCAGGTAGAATAGGGAAGGGCTATATAAGAAGGAGTCCATTTACATGTCACATGTCCTAATAACAATAGTCTAATCTGGAGGAGATGAAGGCATGAACAAACATCTCCAATTCACCTCTAGAGACAAAAGTCCTGAGTTTAGTGATATTTCTTATGTGAAGAAAGAAACAACGGCTTGCAGACTTGATTTTGGCATCAAAAGTCAAAGATGAACCCAAGTGTCCGAGCAGCAGCTTTTACAGTGGATGAGAAAGACACCAAACGTTGTCTGATTTGGGCCTTAATGCTCTGTTGTCTGTATTAAGCTGCAGAAAATTGTTTGCCATCCAGCCATTAATTGTGTTAAGACGGTCCAATTTATCCAATTCTTGGAAAAATGTTAAAAAGTTGTTACAATCCTTATCTGAAAAGACTGGAGACAAACAATGCTATTCTGTGTATCAAAGAAAACCTTAGGATCTCTTTTTCCTACTCTCACATTTTTTATCATTTTATTTTTTATTAAAAGGAATTTTTTCCTTTTAATAACCCTTATGTGCCTCAAGTTTTCTGGCTTTCCACAGCTGCTCAGCTCTACAGCAACGTCACCTAAAACTGCGGATAGATTCAGTGATCCGAGGAGGAGATTTGAGAGATGCCACTTTGGCCGGTACAATCTGAAATGAAGGAAGCTGCACCCAGTTTTATACCATCAGTCTCAGCCAGATTATTAGCAAACAATTCTACAGATTCTTCCACCACAGAGTCAGTAATAAGTTGTGAGTGCTATGCATGAACAGAGGGCAGAGTGTCAAGGCTAGAAGATAGATCAAATAAAAGACATTTATGGTCACTAATAAAAATGTCTTGCAACATTCTCACACAGTAACACAATAATGTAGCACATTAATAAATTGTCATTGCCAATGTCAAATTTACTACACAGGATTTTTAGTTATCCACCTGATGGACAAGCAGAGAAAAATAATTTATCACCAAACCCCAGCCTGTGTAGACCACAGAACAAAAAACTGAAACCATAGGGGAGTGTAAAATATGCACATTACCATATATTCATTGTGAATGATGACAAAAGTATGCATGTTTAGTTATACTGCGTGCAAGCATCATCTGGCATTGTGTTATTCTAAAATACTCTCCTACCTTGGCTCCAGGGATTCCAGGTGTCCCTGGAGGTCCAGGTAATCCAGGAGGGCCCTATAAGGATGAGAGATTCAGTCATGAGATATGTTTGCATTTTGTGCAATACAATCTAGAAAATACTCACCATCAGGGGGATGTTGCGGATATCCTGTGAAGAAATATTAAATGTTACTAATGCTTTATTTAATGTGTTACTTTCTTTGTAGATGAGAAAGTGAAACTCATATGAAGCGACATACATTTTCATACTGGATTTCAGCCCTTCCTGGCTCCCCAGTCGGGCCTGGCAGACCCTAGAAGGTGCAGATGTGCCATTTGTCAACTCAGTGGACACATGTTAATAAAAACTTTTATTTCATCCAGAACTTACCCTTGGGCCAGCTGGGCCTTGAATACCTGCTTCCCCCTATTAGTTGATGTAAGACATAAGACTTTGGTTAGGCATAAATATGCTATAGGATTCATATTTTTCTGAATAAAGGCCCTTTCAAAATTTATTTCTAGTGCTCTTATCCTCCTTTTTCTCCCTGGGATCCTTTGTCACCCTATAATAAAAATATTCTAATATTATGCAGTAACTTCACAGAGTTAGAGTTACTTAAGCATTTTTTAAGTAATAATTGCATTGCTGTTTCATGGCATTGTATTTCACTCACTCTGGGTCCTCTTAGTCCCGGCAGTCCTGGTGAACCAGGCTCTCCTTTAATTCCCGGGGCTCCAGTGTTCAGCTCTCCTTTCTCTCCCTGTCATACATATAGAAAAGGTCTTAACCAATGGCATACACTGTTATCTCCAATTTTATCTCCATGAAAATCAAGAATAATCAGTCCTCTGAAGAATACTGTCAGCAGTTCCAGAGCAAATAAATACATAGTAAGCTGGTAAGTGGCCCTGGGGGACATTGTTGTCTAACCGTTCTGTCCGTGGCTTCTAACAGTTAAACATTTACTGTTTCATGAATTGAACAAATAGTGGCAATATGAAGGTTGATAGAAATGATTGGTAGAATTAGCCAGTTTCATGAAAACAATCATTAAGACTACACATTCTGTCAAAGAGGGAGCAAAATCCAGCAGCACGGAAAGACAGCCATCTTGGAACGGATATATTCACTGACACACTGAAATGGGTGAGTTACTAACAAGCTATGATGACAGAAAGATGACAAAACCACCATAAATAAACAAAACCACTATGAACCACAAAGAGTGAAAAAAACAATAGTGGCCGCCTCGTGGTAGATTCTAGGTGATGTTCAGAAAAGGTGTCACAGGGATTCAAACTCATCTGAGAGTTTTAGTGGATGCACCTACAGTTTGAATGTAAAAATCCTACGCTGCCTAGTTCTCGAGTTATCATGTTAACAAAACTTTCAGAAAGTGTCTGTGAGTGTTCATCACGACATATCCTTGGTAATGAGGATGAGACATGACAAGGGCGCACCCCAGGGGCCAGAAGGAGGTAGAGAAAGACGTAGGAGACCTGGGCCATCTACAGCTCCCCAAAGTACTCAAGACCCAAGGCCACATATCTATAAGAACTGTTTGCACCCCAGAAGAAGAATGAAGGCCCCCAACTGAGCCCTCACAGCCAAAAGACACGAGCCCCAGAGAATCAGAGGCAAGGGGCAGCCCAACCTGCCGGAGGCTGACCATGTCAGCGTGACCCGAGATTGGCCAAAGTGCCCAAGAACCCCCTCCCCTCCCCATGACAAAGGCCCAAGTCACCTTGGACCACAACCCCCAAGGAAGCAGGCTGATAACCACGGTCAGCTTTTTAACCAGCAGGGTCGGCCTGATGAAAATTGATGAAAATGTAAAAAAAACATGAAAATGTAGATAAGGTTGATCAGCTCCACAACTCTGAGTGGGGCTGGTAAGTGAAGTGAAGGGGGTTCAGATGTGGTCTGACCAGAGGATGGAACTGATCGAGGTTGTCTTCCAAGGTCTTAGTTAGGTGCAAAGAAGCATCGTTTTCCAGCCACAATCACATATCACCCAGTTGAATCAGCCTTTACATTATAAACCGTAAATTGTTTACTGTTGCTAATCATGATCGCTGCCCCTCTTGATCTTGAGTCAAAGTTGGACTGAAACACTTCAGCTGTGCAGATATGAGTCTTCTGCAGAAAATGCAATGCCTGTGTTTAGCTGTTTTAAAGATCTAATAACTTTTTAAAATTTCATTGACTAATTGCTGCTGTAATGGAGGTTGTGCTCTCCGAGTGCTTCTTGTTCTTACAGTGATATGACATGGACCTTCAGCACCTCCAGACTGGTCAAAAAAGCCCAGCAAAGATCGCTCTGCCTGAGAAGGTACAATGAGCAGAGTTCCTCTAGAAATGGCTGCTGGACTTTTACAGGACAACCTGGGATGTGGTGGTTCAAAACACAAGAGTTCACTTGAGATGATCCCAAAGTGTCCCATTAGTAAACTCAAAGGTTTGTCCAATGTTCACAAAGTTTGCATTTTAACACTTCTTTTTACTGTGACCTACAGTGTGTGTAGATATATGTGCACTGACAAAGTTTCCATTACAAAAACAAATTACACATACGGATACCTTTAAGACCTATCGGCAACTCTTACACTGAAGAGACCGTAATCAGCCAGTGATGACACTGCAGTATTGCTTTCATTGTGTTTGTGTTGCAGCCCAGTGTCCTGACAGTCAAGAAGCACAAGGAGATACACCTACTGCTAGAGTTTCCATAACCGCTTACAAATTCCATGTGTGCACCAACGAGTGACAGTATCTGCTTCAACACCTATTCAATGTGTCACAGAGACACAGAAACAAGAAAAACGCCACTGAAAAGTTTCATCTGAAAGATATTCTAACAGCATATGTGCATCTCCAAAAGTTGATTCTGTTCATCTGGACGTAGCGTTTTGTGGGAGAAACGTTTTGTCATCATCCAGGTGACTTCTTCAGTCTCAGCTGACTGCAGGTTTCCCCCAATCTTATAAACAGGACATGAAAGTATATGTGCAGTCACCATGTCACACTGAATACCTCGTATTCTAGCAACTTTTAAATGTCTTTTCAATTAGATTTGCACAGTTTACTTTACTATTGTTCTAGCCACCTCTAGTCCGTTTCTATCCTTTGCAAGTCCTTCCTGCTGCGAATCATGAGCAGATGAACCGTCAACAATGTGTAAAGTTCAACTAAGCAACTAAAATGTCTTCATAAAGTCAGACATTGGATTGGATAACAGAATGACTTGTGTGAAATAATGTCTATCTCCCTCCTGCTTATTCTTATCTTATTCTTCATCATTTCCTCCGGCTATTTAATTGTTCCTCCTCATTTGCAGTGAAGGAAATGTGGGCACACACTTCTCCTGGTCATGAAATCCAGTATCTTACTGCTATTGTATTTAAAATATGGGAGCAGAACAGACAATTTTAATAAGAGCTGGTTTCAGAAACACCACCTATGTTAGTATTTTGCAACAATGACTGATGGAGGTGTTGGATGTGTCTGTTCCCTGTGTGTCATTAGACCTGAGCTTCCTGCTGGGAGTTTCAGGAGTTTTCTCTGAGATTATAGGACCAATTTCCCCTAAGTTCATAGATTATTCTTCCTTGTGCAACTATTTCTGGGCACTGAAGGTTCAGCCTGTGAAATCACTTTCTCTTTATTAAAGAGTAAAAGCCTTCACAGATTGCTGCTCCCTGTGGATACAAAATGCTATACAAGTTTAACCTTCCTCCTGCCACCATCTGTCTGAGGCCCCTAATGGAGAAAACATACCCTGCCATCCTAATGTGGCCAGTACAGAGATGTACTGTGAGCCCAGGTCTGCTGGGACTGCTGCAGTGCTGACAGAGGAAGCAGAGTCCACCATGTAGAAAAACAAGACAATAAATGTCTTCATATTTAATTATTCTGTGGTAAAGCCTCTAAGACATGACAAGCATCTAAGACATAAGTGCATCCAGGTAAGTTCCAGTTTCCTGTGTTCAGAGACAGACAGCAGAAGGATTTGAAGCCTGTTTCTACTGATTCATACATTTAAAGCATGTTCCTATCACCCAGACTCCAGCAGTGACATCTGCCATCTTGGCATGAATAAATAATCCTTAAAATGCCACACACACAAGCTCCCTGCTTGGCTTTTATTTTTCATTCTCTCGCCTCTCTCTGGGAACGCCCTCACTCTTTCACCTCCCCACACAGTGCATGGAAACATTAGCTCAAGCAAGCAGACAGTCCACTTCATCCAAGGGGAAACAGACCACAGGGAGACGGGGAGCTGACAGAAGTAGAGCTACAGCCTCCTCTTGTTAGCTGCTTAAACTATGGAACTGAATTAAATCCTCTCGTGGAATTAAGGCCAGAAACTATGAAGAGAAGTCTGTGTCGGGCTCTTCAGCTTTGAACTCAGCTTTACTTTACTAAAGTGAGTAGTTCAGAAAAAACAAAAGGTGCCTTATTTTACTTCCTCTTACCTTATTTCCTTGGTCTCCCCCAACTCCCTGTGAAGCAGATAACAATGCTGTAAATTTAACAATAATTATACTCTCCACTAGATGGCGCACACGATATTTTGTAGTCCTTTCAGTGAGTAATGTTTCATGTCAGTGAGCTGATGGGCTCATGGCAGAAAACAGATAAGATGGAACATTTACAATAATCTGCACAGAAGGAGAGCAGCAGCTTATTTTCACAAGTGCCAACATTTGAGCTCTTGGGCAAAATCACATCTTATAGATTTATACTGTGAATTCGTTGCTATAACTGTTCATATCCAGATGGCAGAGACATTAAAATCTACAACTGTTTATTCGATTATACAGTTTGGACAAAGACACAAACTAATAATAATATTGTTTTTGTTGTTTTTTGTATGCCCTGTCCACATTAGAGCAATCAGAATCATTGTGTGAAGGACAAGGACAGTCTGAAGGATTTATTTTCCCATGTAAACCAGTACAGCTTTACTGGTCCACTTGATTGACATATTTTATTGGACCTTTATTATTATTATTATTTATTTTTTTCATTTTGAGTTATTACACTGAGAACGGACAGGACCGGAGGACAGGAAAGAGAAAGAAAGAGAAAATGGGAAGAGAGTTAACAGAAGGAAAGAGAGAGAGAAAAGACTAGCAAGGAAAAACACAGCATCCGCAACCGTAAATAATAAACAGTATAAATAAATAAATAGTAATATTGTCACCAGTGATAGGGTTTAAAGGCACTTGTCATCAGGAGATTAGATCTCTTGGAGCAAGCTACTGTATCCTGCAAACTGTCCTCAAACCTTAGAGGATGATCTTAAAAGCTTAGAGTGTGTTGGAGAGTTTCTCCTGATGCTTTGGGTCAAACATAAAGCAGAAGGTAAATACCTTTGGGCCTGCTGGGCCAACATCACCTCGATCCCCCTGTGGAGACAAACAGACACACATACAAACACCAAAATAATAACACTAATAAACACTGAAAGCACAGTAACAGCCAACAGATGATCAAAGTGGTGTCTCGAAACCTATTAAAACTGAGCCCTATTTCTTTATTTCCCTTTTAAAGTAAAAATATAAGAGTTCATTATGAACATAAAAATAAATAAAATACTAAAATAAAAATAAATAAAATACTACTTCCTTAATCTTTCTGCTTTGATCGTACGCAGGTATTCAAAGCTACATGATATATACGTCCATCATTAGTAAATAAGTGGTCATTTCTTTCCGTTCATAAGGAAAAATGTGTCTACTGGAATATAGCATAGTTGAAATAATACTTTTTAAATGTAAAACACAGAAGGGAGCTCACCTTTTGTCCTGGCACACCTGGCTCACCCTGAAGACATAAAACAATAAGTGTATATGTATAAAGCATCTATACATTCAGCTTTGATTTACCGCAGTAAGCATTTCACATCTCTGCGTCACATCTGAGCTCACAGTTCACATTCCTGCTTTCAAACAATCCATAACAATTAATGCATCACGTGGAGCGTTTGCATCAGGCACACTGAAAACTTTCTGACTTGGTGTCATGTGGCCTGTTTGACTCCTACAACTCTAAATTCATCACGGCGGGCTACAGTGATGCTGTTTTTATTTTGCACTTTGTATTAGAAAGAATGTTTTTTCACCTTTAGTCCAGGCAAGAGCTGCATAAAGAAGGAAGAAGAACGTTAATGTTGCATGAATTAATAATGTGAAGGCTCTAGAAAAACATGACGAGTCACAACACTAATGCTTACCCTTGGGTCTTTTCCAGGTTTGCCTGGCTCTCCAGGTTTACCCTGTGTGACATAAAACTTTGTTTTACAAAGACTATACGAGCCATGTCATAATCTTGTGAACAATGACATTATGCCCCTCCCTCTAGTGAGAGCATAACAGTAAATACATTCATATAAAGTGAACCTTTATACTAGTGAGTCTCTTAAATCTTGTCTGAGATGGAAAAGTCTGTTAAATTTAAATTTGACACCATGGTGCGTGACACCAGAGGATATATAAAGAGGTAAACTCAGATTAAGACTCACCGGTGGGCCATTGGCCCCATCCGATCCCGGTGTTCCCGGTGGACCGGGTGGCCCCGGAGGTCCCGCAGGCCCCTGTATTCCAGGCTCGCCCTGCTAAGAGAGTTTGAGTTAAAACCTGTCATTCTACAGTGAGCCACACCAGCCATGTCCAAACAACCTCACACTACACTGCAATCAATTCAATAAAGGGTGGGGAGCAAGTGCTGTGGTGTTGGAGAGAGCAAGGTAAGCTAAGGAACAGGGCGAGCAGTTATTATGCTGGAGAACAATGACTTTTTTCAATTAATACCCAGTTTCTACATGCTTGACCTGTGACCCTCAGCTGACAGGATATGCAAGCATATGGTCAATAGATGCTCCAAAAGTGACCAAAGAGTCATTTAGCAATAACACAATCACAGAGGTTTCATTTTCTGGACTGCTGTCCACAGTTACCAGTGTGGATCAAGAAGACAGTGAATAGAAAGAGTGCCTTTCTTATTCAATGATGTGAATGCCCTCCCTGTCAATGAGGTCAAAAAACCCCAAGTATCCAAAAGCTCTGAAAACCAATCACATGATTGAGGCTGGTGTAAAATATGAAAACCTTCAAGAACACCATTTTACTTGTGACTCTAGAGACCATCATACAGAGACATTTAATTAACCATCATCTTATCTTAATTCAATGCTACACAAGCTATACAACACAATTTTTGTACCATTGTTGTCCAGCTTTATGCACACCTTCATATATATACATATATATACACATATACATATATACACACACACACACACACATGGCAGCAGAGAGAAGCTGTGGGAAGGAAGAGAAGTTGGATGGCAAGCAGGGGACATACACAATTGTACCTTGAGGCGTTTTAATATTAGAGGGCTTATTGAGGGCATGTTGCGCACGGTGATGGGCAACATCTGCTGGGGGGGAAGTCACAAAGCACAGGTGGCCAGCGATGCAAAAAGGTCACAGGGCAAAGGTCACCAGGAGGCCAAAGAAAGGAAACAGGGTAGAAGAGGAGAAAGACGGATAGAGGGGGAGGGATGTAGAGGGAAAAAGAAATGAGGGTGAAAGGAAATGGGAAGTCAAATTAGAAAAAAGGAAATAAGGCTGAAGAAAGGAAATCTAAAAAAGAGGCCCCAGTAAAGCAAACTATAGGCCTGAAGCTGCAAAGGGGATGGTCCATGCACTGATATGCTCTAAATTATATGCTGAATTTTGTTTTGCTTCTTAGATGCCAGCAGAGAGCCTTTCTGTTTGCTGTGCAGGATTTGTTGTGGATCAGCATCCCCATTAACTGTTACTCAGGCCCGTAGATTGCAGTGGAGCAGAGGAAGGAGCCTGTCTTGCCACAAAGAGAGTACAGCAGTAGAGTTACAGTACATATTCAGACTTACTGTGGCCAACTGTCCAACACAGGGCTGTACAATACGTCGCTTCTGTTGAGATGACCAGTGCGATCAGATAAAAGGTCAGTACAAGTACACCTGTGATGAGAGCTTTGTTTTCCCAAGTGCATGAAACGTGCCTACTTTTTACAAAGCGTACATATTTCCACAAACTTTATGATGCCACTAAAACGAAAGCACCTTTATCAATAAAGTAAACCCAAAATAATTCCTGGCCAGTCTTCTCTGTCTTAACACGTATCCAATGTTACATTTGATTGACTTCAGTTAGACGATGCCTGTTTTGCTATGTAACCAATCACGCTCTTTATTCAGAAGATCACTTAGAAGTTCTATGGAAATACATACAGCAGATTATAAGCAAAGGTGAGGGAAGAGTAAAAGTAGGCAAGTCTGCTGCTTTGTCTCCAACCATTACAGTGATCCACCACAACTGAGAACAGCTTTAGATGGATATAAGTCACCTGCTGCTAATATTAAGAATGAATCAGATAAAAATGGTCTTTCCTGTGGGGAATATTTGTCTTTATGTTGAGATGCATAAAAATGAAAAAGTATCAGAAATGCAAAACTAAAGGACAAACAATGAACATGCTGACAAGTGGAAATTTAAGGCTCCTTAAAGGATTTTTGATATCTTACGTTGACAAAATAAAACTTGACTGAATGTGTGACTGTGGCTTGTAGCAAAGAGTACTTGGAGTTTTTAAAAAAAGCATCAAGTAAATACTCAGTAAAGGTTTTGTGTCACCAAAAAGGAAATGCATTAAGCTGATCCTGATTAATGAATCTTTATTCTTTTCTCTGGGTGGAAAGCAGAAGGTTGACGAGTGCCTTTGTTCGTGGGCACTGGCTCTCTTTGTGGCATGACCTCGCAGCACCCAGTGAGGGTTATCAAACAGGGTGTTCAGAGACACCCACAAACCTTCAACAGAGTATGACTTGATCGTAATGCAGCCAGGGTTTTCAGAGGAAGATCCTGCACAAAGAGGCCCTACACACCATGGAAATTGTCATTTTAGGCAACAAACCATTTCATTATCAAATCAAACAGAAAGTTACATACAGAACTGAGGTCAACATTCGCCCAGCTTACATAATCGAATCTTTAGTATCAGAAGAGCTGAGATGCATTTTCTCTAAACACCGGGTCTCTGTGGCTTTTAAACACCAAAACACGCTGCACCAAAAACTGGTCCACCCCAAGGATCGGGTCCCCCGACACAAACAGAGTAACATAGTGTACGCTGTTAAGTGCAGGAGGATTGCCAGGATTTATACATCGGAGAAACCAAACAACCTCTGGCTACAACACAGCAGAGCCACCTCGTCAGGCCAGGACTCTGCAGTCTATTTACACCTACAGGCCAGTGGACACTCTTTCAATGATGAGCATGTTCACATCCTGGACAGGGAGGAACGCTGGTTTGAGGGCAGAGTCAAGGAGGCCATTTACGTGAAAAGGGAAAGACCATCTCTGAGGTTACATCTGTCATCATCTTACAAAGCTGTGATTGCAGCCATTTCCAAACTCTGAATGGTAGTTGTTTAATAAACAACTAGAACCAGATAATTATCAGAGAAAATCCACTTGCATCAGTCCCTTCATCCAACTTCAAATTACTCAAATGCCCAAGGCCCTTTGAGGTGATGGTAGTGGTGGATGTTGATTATGAGGTTGTGCAAATTGACAAAGGCAGAGCAATGCAGATTTACCACCTCAACCTGACCCTCCTAAAAGCATAGAGGTAGGCGGAGCTTGACTCTCTGCTGAGCTAGGTGAATAACTGAAAAGGCAGTGGCGTATTAGAGCCATCTTCACCTGTAAATATTGGAAACGAAGTATTTGACAAGACATTGTTGCCTGTCTATTATTACTAAGACTAAATTAACATCTGAACTCCACAAACAGCAATTCCCTAAGACTGCGGCCTGGACTGTGTTTATACCATAGGAATGCCCCTCCAGACTGCTGCAGGGGTTTCTTAAAAACTTAAAGACTAGCTAAAAATAGGCTAATTTATCAGACAAATCTCCATTACATAGCAGACTCTTTTTCCTGGCAATCATACACATCTGTCTGTATAGCATGCTGCTGGTAGGGACCCTGTTTTCCCTCAGCTACCTGAACTGCAGAGACAGAGGGCCAAAGAACTGCAGTTCCACATGTGCTACCTATCATTCATCTATTTTTGTCATCGTTAACGACTCTATTAGTTAATCTTAAAAAAAGAACATAATAATAACACACTCAATATGTTAAACTTTGACTTCTTCTGAAAGAGAACCAGCAAAGAATTAGTTTAGTAGTAATGTTTCCTTACCCGATGTGTGTAATCGCCACAGATACCCTTGAATAAACGAAAAAAGTTGAATTAGAAAGAGATCGTTAGAGTATCAGAAAACTGATCTGAATGGCATAAAGAGCCATAACCCTAACCCTAGCCCTTTCACACGGTGAGTGTAGTTTAGTCTATGGAAACTGTGTTGAGTTCTGTAGCTCAAGAAGAGTTTTCCCAAATGTGATAGCATACACCTTGATGGTGTCATAATGTTGCCCTCTGAGGCTGACACACTGCTTACATTACTGCTACCACACACTGTAGAGATATGCTAGTTAAAGCTGATAAGCTCTGTGCTATCTTGCCCTGATTCTAAAAAACAACATGATGGAAGCCATAAGCAGACATTTACTCTTTCAAATGTGGACTCCAGAAATCAGTGGCCCGTCTTTTATATACAATCTATGCTTCTGATGCTTTAATTAAATGGTGTGAGTACTTCTTTCATCAAATAAAGGGTAGTACACTCACCAGCCATAATAAAAGAAAAACATGAAAAATAAAAATCTCACCTTCTCCCCTTTAGGTCCAGGTTCCCCCTGGACAGCAAAAGAACACAAGTAAAGAAAAGAGGAGTTGGTTACAAAGGTAGCAAAGAGCTGAGCAGTGCGTAATCAGAGGACTGACATCAGGTCTCAGATACTTACTGGGTGTCCTTTAGGACCACGCTGTCCCTGAAAGACACCAGGAAAACACTTTGTCTTAAATATGACCTAGGCATTGATTAGCTGCTGCAAGGTGTGAAAGACTTAACATGAGTGAAAATCATTTTCTCAGAATAATCAATCAAACTGAAAAATGGACTGTTCTAACTTCTTGTTAGGAACGAACCCACTCAGGTTAACTTCCCACTAAGGCCTGGATGTGACCTGCACAAGTAGCTGTCAGATCTCAGCAACTGGTTTATTAAAGAACTCAGGAAGAGGGGCACAAATCCATCCATCCAGTCTATCCCAACTTTATATTCACTGTGTTTTTAATTTGTTAAAGAACGACTTTGTTGCACAGGGCTGCTCCACTTGCCCTGTGGGGGGTCTCTGTCTTTTAAACTTGGGTTCTCTACCAGAGACTTAGGATCTTGAGGGTCCTGGGCAGTATCTTTGGTGTTCCTAGGACTAGGTTCCTGCGACTCCCATTCCTGGGATCTGCTTTAGCCACTCTTCTATTTTTGCCATCACTGCCCTGAGTGCTCTGATTACCACAGGGACCACTCCACATCTTTTCTCTCAGCTCTTGGTATTTTTTAATCTTCACATCTTCCTTCTTCCCGATGTCGCTATCACTTGGTATAGCTACATCTAACGCTACAGCTGTCTTCCTCTGCTTGAACTTGGCCTGTCTGTATCTGAAAGTCCCACTGGATCTTAGCTGGGTCATTTTCAACCATCCTAAAGGCCATATCCCACTGGATAATTGGATACGACCTTGGGACTTCCAGGCCATAATCATCACAGATCTCCCTGTGTACTACGACAGCCACTTGCTCATGGCACGTATAACCTGCCAGCTAGCATCTTGCACTATTCTGCTGTGTGCTGGAATATCTCAGGGAACAGTCTGTGCAGCCTGAACCTGGTAGACCCCAGCCTCTATCAATCTTGTGCTTAAAGCTTGTTCCTGTGCTGCCATGATTAGTGTTTCTGTGCTGTTTTTCAGTCCAACTTTGTCCAGCCATACAAAGTGGGAAGAATGTTGTTTCCCCTAACATTCCCAGATAGTTTCACAATTGTCTATGAAACCTACATTGTTTTTAAGGAGAAAACTGGCTGCTCCTGTCTGCATGCCAAATATCCTCGGCCAAGACACTAACCCCAATTTGCTCTCTGATGTTGTTTATCTTATCTATTTTAATTCTGTTTTATTTGATTATATTATCCCTCTGTTCAGCACTTTGGCCCACACTTGATGTCTTTTAAATGTGCTATCTAAATAAAGCTCACTTGACTTGATGCAACAATCAGAGAGTGTGTGAATGACAGATTGAAAACACTTACATTTAAAAATTATAGAAAAACGTGCTTGTGTAAATGGGTGAATGAGGCAGGTTGTGTAAAGAACTTCAAGTGCTCAGATATAGTAGAAAAGCGTCATACAAAAATCAGGCCATTTGCATTACACCCCCCCCCCCCCCCCCCCCCCCCTGTCCAATTGGGGGAGGGAAACAAAGAAAACTACAGAGTTTGACATTTTTTGCAAAGTTACACACCAGTTCATTATTAACCTTAAAACCTTTGACTGACATAACCCTGTGTCATATTTCTAAAAACAGAATTGCTAGTAGCCAGAGTTTTCCCTTGGCAGGTTGGTGATGGACTTTTGTTCCGGATACGGTTCCTGTTCCTACCCAACTGCTCGGGACGATCGGCTGGGAGAGAGCTAACGATGGCTAAAGGACAGCACAGAGGACGACAGCACAAGAACAGATCCTAAACACCAGATCCGTAGAGGCAAGAGTCTACTACAGCTGACAGGCCCAGGGTTGCAGACCTTGTTGCAGGATAGTTGTAGGATGGGACTGCATATGGACTTCCAGTCCCTAAGCCCCAGTGGGAGACACCACCAAAGGTGGTTAAGAACAACAGGGCGTCGAGTTCCACACAGTCAAGCCAACATATAGTGGAGGTTGACAAGGAGCAGAAGAATGCTGGGACAGATGTAGCAGACAGCAACAAGCAATAAGAAGCACGGGAAATAGAGAAGTACCAGGTAGTTACGGGACAAGATTTTGTTTTTGTTCTGTTTGTGTACTTTTCATGTTATATTATAACGAGTGCTTGATTGGCACTATTTATGTTTATGACTTACCATGTCTCCCTTTGGTCCACTCTGTCCCTTTGTGGAGGCAAAACAATTAAATCAATCCAAACATATAACATCACTAAACTAAAAAATAATAATAAAGATGATGATGGCTGGTAGAATTTTTATTAATGACCAGTGAAGGAACTAAATTATTCAGTTCTTCCAGTTTGCAAAAGGAACTTAATGGTACTCACAGGCTTGCCATCTAACCCAATTGGACCCTGGGAGAGGAGAGGAGAAGACAGTACAACATTTAGATTGTGTTATAGTCCCTGACTCACAAAGATGCAATTTCTAACTTTTAGGAAATACACTGGCAATTAAATAAAGACTGTGTATCTTGCTCAGACATACAGATGGCAGTGCTGGTGGTAGTAGAAGGAAGGTGCTGTTACCAGTATGCTACTAGTTAAAACAGTTATTGGTCTGTGTTTACTGTGCTGAGCAGCACTCACAAAGTGGCAATCTAATCATGAGAAGATGGTAATATTTTGGTTTGATGTTCCATTTTATCTAAAGGAGTGCAGAAAATGTTTTTACATATTTTATATGAGTAAAATCGTCAATCACCAGCTAATTCATGAAGTATTATAGCCTAAAAACAACCCTGGCAAACAGGTGGTTATAGCTTACTGGAAATCCTGGAAATCCTCTTGTACCAGGTTGTCCCTAAAGAGATGAAAAAAAAGAGAAAACCATGAGTGTTTAACATGCATCCGACAGTCTGACATAAAGCCTGGAAAAGTGTAGTTGAGAGTAGAACGGTTCCGCTATTTTTACGTATTTTGTAAATGGTGAATACACTGTGTGCGATTTCCTTCTGTGTACACGAGGAAATCAGATACTGAAAAATGTTCTGTCTCGCCTCAGGCCAGCAATGACTGTGAAGCTTCAAAATGTACCACATATTCATCCAACCCAGTGACATGACAAAATGACAGGACAGACGAGCTCTACAGAGGGTTGTGCGGTCAGCTGAGCGCACCATCCGCTCCGAGCTCCCTGACCTGCACTCAATCTACAGCAGGCGGTGCTGGACCAAGGCCAGGAAGATCGTGAAGGACCTCAGCCATCCCAACAACAGACTGTTCTCTCTGTTGAGGTCAGGAAAGCGATTCCGCTCCCTGAAGACCAACACAGAGAGACTGAGGAGGAGCTTCTTCCCGCAGGCGATACGGTCTCTCAATCACACCACCACACAGTACTGACCCACACATATGGTTCTTACACACACACTGGACTTTCTGGACTTTGGTTTTGCACAACACTTATACTATATTCTTCATTTCCGGTTAATACTTGTACAGCTGCTGTTATTGTGTATATATTTATTTATATTTAGATTTCTTCATACATTCTTATATAGTTCTATATTGTGTATTTTGTTGTAGAGTTATTTTATTTTCAACTTTAATTTATATATTTTATCTTATTCTTTCCCAGTTAAATTTACCCTTCATTCTAATTTGTGTTGTACAGTTATTTCATTTTTAACCTTAATTTATATTTTATTCCTTCCTAGTTAAATTTACCCTTTTTAATTTTTCATATTTATTTCCTTTCTTATTCATAGCCTTTTCCTTTTTTGTTTTCTTTAGGTCACGAGCAGTTGTCCAAGCATTTCACTACATATCGTACTGTGTATGACTGTGTACGTGACAAATAAAAATTTGAATTTGATTTGAATTTGAAAATGCTAAAGATGCTGAAGCATTTGTTTTGCCTCGGGTTGCATAACCTCCTGTTTTCCTCAGCGCTCTGTTTTTTGTTCACAACTGTAATGTGTTTGCGACTGACTCTTCTTGGATTCTCCTGTGCAGAGTCTCTTCTGCAGCCTGTTATTTATTAGAAATGCCTATTACAATACAGGAAAAGTGGGCATACAAAAGGATAGACTATAATAATGAACACTAAGAAAAACAGATGCTTAGGCTGGCTAGTTGCCCTCCTGTAAACTATAAACGGGGAGAAACATTCAACTCGTGTTGTCACCTGAGAATTTTGGTCAAAACAAGAGAAACCAGTATGACTGGATAACTAGCCGTGAGCCCAGCTGGACAAGGATGGAGCGTCCAGCTTTGTTCCCTGATAAAATAACGATGACTAGTGATCCAGTCTAACTTAACTTCCAATGCAATCGTTTACACATGCACTCTGCAATTATATAACAATATTCTGTCATGGAGCAGTGACTCAGTCTTGAATAAAGACAATTTGGCCGAGCCAACATAAATCCGTGCTCAGTACTCCACAAACCTGAAAAGTAAGGAGTTGTCTAATTTAATTAATAGAGCTGAAAAGTCTGTTGGTGTCCACAAAACTGATGTGATGAGTTCTACAACAGTGGTAGCTAATAAAGACATTTGCTGCATAGACAAGCAGACGTGATTAAAGGTAAAAGGGTTCGTAGTTCTAGGGAGAGACACTTACAGGAGGTCCTCTTGGTCCAATGATAGACAGGCCAGGCTCACCTGGTGCTCCCTATGAACAGACAGAAAGACAGGAAAAGGGATTCCTTTCTCTAGCACTCACATCTATAAATATTATCAGAGGGATTCAACAAAAAGGTAAATGGCTACAGCAATTCATCACATACAATGTTTAAATGTTTAAAGAAATGTAAAGCTGATGTGACACCAATGTCTGGTTACTTGGGGTTTAAATTCTAAGCTGGTTTAAATTTGGTGATAGTGGGTAAACACCAGTGGCTACTGAACTAACTCCTGATCCTTGTTTAACCTCCTAAGACCCGAACTCTTCCACGGCATGCATTTTTAATTTCTCTTTGATATTTGGGCTGATTGGGACCTGATGAATGTAAAAACAAAGAATTAGCAGATTTATTTTTTTTACCTAATTTTTGTTTCTAACAAAAATGAGAGCCACTTAAATTTCGATAGAACAGTAGCAGTATAATGTCCTTGTAAGTGGATATCAGGCCCTTGCAGAGCAAAATTGAGTATTTTGGTCTAAATAACCCAAAATGTGATGTCCACATATGTGGACGCCAGGTCCTAGGAGGTTAAGGGTTCTATAAATGATTAGACTTAATGGAAGAATGTTATTAAAATGTGCAGTAATGCATGAAGCGCAACCTCTTGTTTCTTCATATTTTGCTAGGAAAATGGGAGATACTTGCAATTACGTATTGAACTACTGTCTCTTGGACAACCTTCTTCCTTCTAATTTCTTTGAATAGCATTCAGGAATAGTTCTCCACACATTGCTTAACTCTGGTTCTGGTTCATTTGCTGCTTTTTGTTCTGTTCTCTGTCACTCTGCCACTGATCATGTTCCATTGTGTTTTTTTCTATTTAGAAAAGCATTTGCAGTGTGGGATTACTGTCACTGTCATGGTCCTGGGTCTTTGATCCAGTGTTTTTATTCTGCACTCTTTATTTGCTCCTTTGGTTTTAAGAAATGTTTACATTCATGTGTGAGTGAAGCGCTGCTGAGGATCTCCTTAATCCCACTAGCCCGTCTTCCATGGAGGACGGAGAGTCTGGGGACGACAGGGACAACTCGTCTATCTCCGAGGGTTAGGTCACTGCGGTAAACAAAGAACGAGACTGCAGACACAAGCGGTGGAAATGCGCTTCCTACGAAGGGTGGCTGGCCTCTCCCTTAGAGATGGGGCAAGGAGATTGGCCATCTAGGAGGGGTTCTGAGTAGTTGGAAGCTAAACACAGAGCACCTGTATAAAAAAGCCCAAAGCCGACTGTACTTCCTCAGGAGGCTGAGGTCTTTTAACATCTGCAGGAAGCTCCTGAGGATGTTTTACCAGTCAGTGGTTGCTGGAGTACTTTTCTATGCTGTGGTGTGCTGGGGGAGCAGCACAGCAAAGAGGGACTCATCCAGGCTGGAGAAACTGATCAGGAAGGCTAGCTCTGTGGTCGGCATGAAGCTGGACACTCTGGTGACAGTGGCAGAGAAAAGGACATTAAAGAAACTGCTGGACATTATGAACAATGCTGGGCATCCTCTGCACACGGCCATAAACAATCAGAAGAGTCTGTTCAGTGACAGGTTGCTTCTCCCCAAGACAAGAACTAACAGACTTAAAAACTCCTTTGTCCCACACGCCATCAGACTGTTTAACTCCTCTCTGGAGGGGAGAGGGAGGGGAAACAGGAGGACAAAGGAGGGGGGAACAACTAAGCTGTAGTGCCTCTTCACCTCACTGTACAATACCTTGTGCAATACTTTTTGTAAATAGTCAACAGTGCAATAGACTCAATACTTGAAATGTGCAATTCACTTGTATTTTTATTTTTTATTCCTATTTATTCTATTTATCCCCTTTGTATATTTTATTTATATTTGTCTCTGTATTTATATGTGTGTGTGTGTGTGTGTGTGTGTGTGTGTGTGTGTGTGTGTGTGTGTGTGTATATATATAACAATTCTGTAACTGTAACTTCGGTCGCTGCTGTGCTTTTTTGGAAGTCGAATTTCCCAGAGGAACCCACCCGAGGGATTAATAAAGTTCTATCCTATCCTATCCTAAAGCTGTGATTTTGAGATTAATTCTGTCTGCTGAGTCCTGCATCTGGGTTCACTCTCTATTTGCCACAAAACTGTTCAATGACATGGGACATATAAATATAAAATGGTTGCCAATCGTACGCATTCCCGATGGTTAAATCAAAAACTGATTGAACTTTTTTGTGTTGAATAATTATATCAATATAATGCCCACTGATATCAGTTATATCAATGGACAGCACGATGGCACGGTGGGAAGCACTGTTGCCTCACAGCAAGAAGGTCCTGAGTTCAATTCCACCATCAGGCCGGGGTCTTTCTGTGTGGAGTTTGCATGTTCTCCCCGTGTTTGCATGGGTTCTCCCCGGGTACTCCGGCTTCCCCCCATAGTGCAGAGACATGCATGTGTTTTACAGATAGCTCTAGATAATTACTGTTGTAGCTCAACTTTTTAACATATTAGAAAACACTTTACATCCTGCGGCGGTCTATCCTTCAAGCGTAGTGTCTTGGCTGTTCCTAGGAGTGCGCTCTTCTAGACAGAGAACTTGGATGTTGCTCCTGGGATCTGCTGGAGCCACTCGCCTACCTTGGGATTCACTGCGCCGAGCGCTGCGATTACCACTTGGACCACCGTTACCTTCACCCTCCACACCTTCTCCAGCTCTTCTCTGAGCCCTTGGTATTTCTCCAGCTTCTCGTGTTCATTCTTCTTGATTTTGCTGTCACTCGGAACTGCTACATCGATCACTATCACATACGTCTTCCTCCGTCTACCACCACTATGTCCAGTTGGTTAGCCATCACCATTTTGTCCGTCTGTATCTGGAAGTCCCACAGAATCTTAACTCAGTTGTTCGCCACCTTCCTTGGGGGCGTCTCCCATTTTGACCTCAGGACTTCCAGGCCACACTCGGCACAGATGTTCCTGTACACTATGCCGGCCACTTGGTTATGGCGTTCCATGTATGCCCTGCCTGCTAGCATCTTACACCCTGCTGTTATGTGCTGGATTGTCTCAGGAGCATCTTTACACAGCCTGCACCTGGGGTCCTGCCTGGTGTGATAGACCCCAGCCTCTATGGATCTTGTGCTCAGAGCTTGTTCCTGTGCTGCCATGATTAGTGCTTCCGTGCTGTCTTTCAATCCAGCCACTGGTAGGATTTCTGGATGTCAGCCACCTCCTCTATCTGCCGGTGGTACATACCATGCAGGGGCCTGTCCTTCCATGGCAGAGAGGCGCCTCCTCTTCCTCGGGTTTGTGCTGCCTGAGGTATTCACTGAGCACGCAGTTAGCCGGGGCAGTCTTCCTGATATACTCATGGATGTTTGTTGTCTCATCCTGGACAGTGGCTCTGACGCTCACTAGGCCCCGGCCTCCTTCCTTTCACTTAGCGTACAGCCTCAGGGTGCTGGATTTTGGGTGAAACTCTCTACGTATGGTCAGGAGGAGATAGAAGAATCAAGACGAGGGTCTTGATGTCAGTGGCTTCTATCTCCTCCTTTAGCCAGCTTATTGTCCCAGCAGGGTACCTGATCACGGGCAGGGCGTAGGTGTTGATAGCCCGGATCTTGTTCTTACCGTTCAGCTGACTCCTCAGGACTTGCCTCTGCAGGTACTTGGTGGTTACAGCTTTTCTAGTGACCTCTTCATGGTTGCCATTTGCCTGTGTCATTCCCAGGTAGTTGTAGCTGTCCTCTATGTCTGCAGTATTGCCTTCTGGTAGTGCAATCCCCTTCCCTCTTTTCGTTACCATCTGTCTACACTTCTCCAGTCCGAACGACATTCCGATGTCGCTGCTGTACATCCTGGTGGTGTGGATCAGTGAATCGATGTCTTGTTCACTCTTGGCAAACAGCTTAATGTATGACAACTGCTCCATTCCATAGTTGGTATCCGTAGCCAGTCTTATCAATGATCTCACCAAAGGGGTCCATGTCTATGCAGAACAGCAGTGGAGACAGAGCATCTCCTTGGTAGATCCCTCAATTGATGTTTACTTGTGGTGTTGGCCTCTAGTTAGGACTGGGCAACATATTGAGTTTTTAAATACATCGATATATTTTTATACGAGATATGAGATGTGACAATATCGTTTATATCGATATAGTCTATGTTACGTTATAATGCCTCTCTTTCGTCCACTTTTGTCTCTACGCAACGTTACTCTGCCTCGCCTCTCTCCTTCACTGAACACAACTTCCCCTCGCCCATCGCTTCACCTGCAGGCAACGACAAGATGGACACGCCAACTATCAAAGAGGAGCTGGTCGGTAAAAACTAAACATTTGGACATTGCTATTTTAGTGCTGGTAGCAGTGATCTCGTTAAAATGATGTTAACGCCATAACTGCATTAACACGGCAAATCTCCGTTAACGAGTTACCGCGGATCACCCCGTGCGTGGGGCTGGACGGCGTCAACGGGTTAACGAGCTAACTGGGCTAACATGTTGACGCCATCTAAAATCCTTTCATTGTCTCAAAACTCGACGGTGCACCTTATGTATGAATTCTGGTTGTGCTTACTGACCGCGAACCGATTTTCTGTGGTACACGGCGCTCAGCAATCTGTCAAAAAATGTTTTTGGACGACTTTGCTAAGCTACAAAGCCGCACCGCTTGATGGATTGTTGGAGCATTACGGCTACCGTAGTCAGGAGCCTCGCGGAGTGATACGCATGGGCTTCAATGTAATATTACCGTATTGTGTGCGTAAGGACCACATATGGCACTTATTAAGAGACATGGTTACAAAGAGGATTTCAAACTCAGTCACACAGTAGAACTTGGGAACAGAGCAGCTGCAAATCTGTCTTTGTTATTATGCTCAGTGTCTTTTTAGTTTACATCTTGACTGCACAATTGTGAGCAGTTTGTTATGCACAAAAACAACATTGTTTTATTTTATTTATGGAGCATTATTATTTAATAAAAAATGATAATTTATTTCCGAGTAATTCTTTTTATTTACATCTACGCTGTACGTTAATAAAAGTGCCTGTGTGAGATCTGGGACACAGCTTTGACTAAAAACTCTCTTTTTGTTCTTACTTTATGGTTTTAAAAAATATTGAGATATATATCGTATATCACCATCCAGCTAAGGAATATTGAGATATGAATTTTGGGCCAGCCCTACCTCTAGTGTTGTTCACCGAATCCCCATTGCATTACTGATGAAGGCTCTTATTGTCCTGTGGATCTTGTGCAGTTCATAGGCAGGTTATTGGTCGGGAGTTGGATGGAACTGGTCCCTTCTGCGTGTCTCTCATAAACTAGCAGCTGGTTCATTTGTGCTCCCAGTGGCTCATGGAGTACCGTCAGCTTCTTCAGCCAGTAGTCATGAATCATGTCAGGGTCTAATGCTGTCCAACTTTTCATACCCTTTCTTGGATGTCTGCCACTGTGGTCCCTACTGGACTATTCAGGGAGTTTACTGTGGTCTCTTAGATTCACTAGCCACTGTGGATTGTCGTTATAGATTGGGTCCTTCTCCCATATGCTCTTCCAGTATTGCTCCGTCTCCAGCCTTGGTGGTGCTGTTCTCATATTGTTCCCTGCCACTGAGAGTACACCTTAGATTGTTCTGTGGAGTCGACCTGGTTTCTCCCCCTGCCTTCTAGCTCTCTAGTGTACCTCTTCAAGTGGCTGGACAAGGCTGTGAGTCTTTCCTTGGCAGTTTCCAAGGACTCTGTACTTCTTAGGTACCTTTTCTTTATTACACCTTTCTGTAGCTTCAAAAGTTTGCTAACTTCTCTCCATGCTACCTTGATCTTGGCCTCTAGTCTCCTTCTCCATGGAGGAAACAGCTCCATGTGGCTTTTCATCTTGTAACCAAGCATCTTACAGACCACTGCTACCGTGGTGTTGATTAGCTGATTGGATGGTCGCAGTTGGTATCGTCCTTAGTGCTGTGTTTACATCTTCTAGTAAATCTTCAGAGGGTACTTCACGTTTTACCAGAAGGTAAAAGTAATGATTGAAAAAGAGGGTTCGTTTAATTTGAGGTTGTTGTCTGTTGCTTCCTTGGTGTGCTCCCGCTTTGGTAAGTCAGAGAATTTCATTTGTACAGATGAGAAGTCACAGGTTAGGGTTTGAATTTCAACCAAAACCAGGACCCACTTGGAGAAAACAAAACCAATTGTTGTTCACAAGCAGACACATAGAATATGGATCTTATTTCATCCTAAATAAACTTTTTTTTAATCCCACAAAGATCACTTTCCATCAGCTGTGGCTTTAAGAGATTACATGCAGTAATGTCTGCATGTATAATTTTGGTATTCCTTCATTCTGTTTGTCCTGACAGCTACGGGAAGAGACGAAACACAGATCATTACCTACTGAAGCGTATTCTCAGCCTACAAAGATAAATATTTTGCACTGTGATCCATAAAGTAGCCACATTGTCTGCTCCTCCGCACTTTATGGATCCTGATGATCAGGTTACAATTTTTGTAAGGCAATCCAAGGCTAAAATTATATTTTAATGACTGACTATTTAAAAAATGTATTGGCTAACAACCACATTTGACTCTCTGGTATGTGTTGTTGCTTTTCCCCTTTGTTACACATTTCAGCCAAGAATTCAGAGTGATGAGAACAAATCTGTATTTGTATATGCATCTGACAGATTGGAAGTTTTTGCTTGTTGACACTCTCCCTCTTTAGAGACTGTGTGTTTAATGTGTGTTTAACCCTACAGACTTATAGCAGTTGGAATAATGGTCACCAGTCTGGCATTTGTTCTTCTCTTCTCCAATATAATATAAATAACATAATAATAGAAATATTTTGGGTAATAACTATTAAATCTTCTACTTCTGCTGAGTGAACAGCATTTTAAATAAATTGTGTAGTGTCCATCATAGTACAGAATACAACATTCAGGAGCAGAGAACAAACTCAGACTGCTGCATTGACCCTCGTGGACACGGATCACCTGTTCTACCAAGTGAGCTAATTTAGCACCCTAGAATTTTGTCATGTACTCTGCCGTTGCCTGTGTAAAGGTCTCCCCAGTTGGGGGACAGACTTAGGAGTCTTAAATTAGACTTTTCAGATGCCTGCGTAACAAATTGTTACTTTGGTGTTTCAGAGTGTAAAGACTTCAGGTGACCTAACTGGGGTGGGAAACCATTTACAGACCCACATGCTGTTGAAAAATAGAGATCCAAATCCCATCCCTGTTCATACAATGAAGTGCACAGTTATGCACCTCTAACCACTACTTCCACCACCCATTGAGTCACACCTTAGCCAAGTCTATTTATATTTCACTGCAATCGGGCCGTGTTAATCACAGATGAGCAAAGTCAAAGAAGTCAAAAGTAAAAATAGAATTTCAGGATTAAGCTCCAACATTTAGTTAAAGTTTAATCAAGTTATTTTTTTAACTGTGCTAAATAACTACATTTGTATATGGACCATCTAATGGCATGTGTTCCTAAACTTACCTTCTCCCCTGCGTGTCCTTTTAAGCCCTGGGATCAGACACAGCAGACACAGTCACATGCAAGTAGGTGTGTAGAGGGGGGAGAGACACAAGAAGGGAGAGAGAGAGCGAGAGAGAGAGGGAGAGAGGGAGAGGAACCAGTGTTAGATACATGGAGAGGGCTCGGGACATGCAGCATCTTTAGGACTAGTGACGGAGGTGGTGATGGTGAAAGAGCTAAAGGGAACTACTGTATATGTAAATCAAATGGAGGAAGGTGATATATATGGCTTTCCTGAGAACAGGAAGGGTAATTAACACTGCCCCAAAATCACTGTCTGCCCTCTTCCACCCCTGGACGCCATCGCCAGCTCCTCTCTCAGGAAAACAGGAGCATCATAGGTGAGCACTACACCGCGCCCACCACCTGTTTGACCCGCTGCCCTCGGGTTTGTGAGTTTGGAGGTCCCACACCTCCAAACTCACAAACAGCCTCTTGACAGGCCTTTCTCTTATTTCTGCATGAATTTGTCTTGTTTTGCATTTATCCCCATTGACTGTATATATTACTCCTGTTTGCTAATTATTCCAACTGTTTATATCAACTATTTATATCTTATTCTGGCACAGTTGGTATGAAGCACCCACAATAATTTCATTGTTCATGTACTACGACAATAACGGGCTGTTGTATTTTGTGTGTGTGTGTGTGTGTGTGTGTGTGTATACACTTAGTTTTTTCCATTTTGTATTATTTTCCAGGGTGAAGTGATTGCACAGCTTGCATTCAAAGTAATGTAATACATTCCATCACTGTCTGCTTTCCCTGTCAAATCTACAAATAAACAATCTCAGACAGCGCTGTCATAAAACTCCTGTCAATTAATATGTGCATCCATCCTTTACATTACTGCCTTGAGGCTGCTGTTGGCTACTATCATGTAGTATTTCTGCTAAATCATATCATTTCTGCTACATTATAGTATTGCTGCTACTATGCTACTTTTCTACTAAGTTATACTATTATATTATTGTGTATTAAGTTATAATTTGCACTGAAAGCTTATTTCATCTCATAGCAAAGTGTAGTTGTCTCTGTCGCTGATGGTTTGTCCATCTCCCGTTAACAGCGACTGGAGCTGGGCAAGCTGAGAGACCAGCAGTTGGTTTCTGGTGGTTTGCAAATGTGGATAAACCTCTGGCCTTTAATGGTGACATGAGGGGAGAACACAGTGGTCTGCTTTCACTGTTCTGACATCAGTTAGTAGCCAGGAGTCGTATGGAAACACAGCTAGCATTAGGAAGCAAACCAGCTTCAGTGATTTAGCTTTGTAACCGATGAGTGTCCTCTTGTTAATTACCTTGGCCAACATGTGTGATAAAGAGAGGATGGAGCGTGAAAAAGTTATTTAACTCCTTTATTATATAAGCAAGTAAACTTTTGACCATGATGGAGAGGGGACAGCAACTCTGACCATTCTAATAAAAGTCTAATAACTTATGCAAGTTGAGCAGGTGCAGGGTCAGATTAGCATCTATGAGAATGAATGAATGTGATGGGCTTAACCAGCTGTTTGCCAACACGCCACTTTCACTTTTTTACTCATATTTTAATCCCCCTGTTAACTCTGTCACACACTATTCAACCATTTTAATTCAGCTGATTGATTTATCTTACTTTTAATTGACTTTTTGAAAAATCAGGATGCAGACCTGTGTTTCTGATCTTACGAACAACTTTTCATAGATATGTGGTCGTCACAGAACACCCACCACACCATTTATAGAATATGATGGTGACCATTAAACAGAATGAGTTCAACCTTAAATATATGCTGTAAAGTGAATCCAGCTAACAATGATGGGAAACAGTTTTCTGCATAATAATTATTTTTACTTTTGATATTTTCTGCACAGTTTTCCAATAATGCGGTGCAAGAACACAGGGCTGTTGGAAAGCTATCACGCAAGCAATCTAAGCAGAAGGGGTTACATGCAGAGGATATGGGACCTATGTACCTAGTGTTATGGAAAACTTGGGTCCACTTGCTACGTTTGCAAAACCGTCTATCAGGAGCCTTGGTGTTAGTATTGACTCAGCTTTGACTTTGGATGCCCATGTAAAATCTCTGGTTCGCTCCTGTTTTTCTCACTTGAGAAACATTGCTAAGCTGAGTCCCATTGTATCGCGCTCCGAATTAGAAATTGTCATTCATGCATTTGTTTCATCTCGTCTGGACTATTGTAATTCTTTGTTTACTTGTTTATGTAAAGCCTCTTTGGAGCGTCTGCAAGTTGTTCAGAACGCTGCTGCAAAGCTTCTGACCAAGTCCTCCAAGTTTTCCCATGTCACACCCCTGCTGATTCAGCTGCACTGGCTCCCAGTTAAATTCAGAATCCAGTTTAAGGTTTTGACCTTGACTTTCAGGGCTCTGCATGGACAAGCACCAACATATATAAGTGAACTTTTACATCCATACATTCCCAGCAGGTCCCTGAGGTCATGTGACCAGGGCTTGCTTGCTGTCCAGCACATGTGGCTGAAAACAAAAGGCGACAAAGCTTTTGTAACTGTGGCCCCCAGATTGTGGAACTCTCTCCCTTTGAGCCTGAGATGTGTGGACTCAGTGATCGCTTTTAAAAAACAGCTAAAAACTCATCTTTTTAAACTTGCTTTTGGTTGATTTTTATTTTTAGGTTTTAGCTTCTGTGAAGCACTTTGTGATTTTTATCCTGAAAGGTGCTATATAAATAAAGTTTTACTTTACTATGGAATTCTCCACACCCAACGTCTCGACTAATGGCAAAACTAGTTTCTCAGTGTTCCAACATCTGGAAGAAACAACTGCTATCACAACTTGAAATTGATGAGGTAAAACAGCAACAGGGAGGCAGAACCTGAGGTCAGGGGGAGATATCATCATCCCCACACTCTAAGATTGGGTACCAAACTCAGTGCGAATGCATGAGCAGCTAATCTGAGAGATGGGATCATGGCTGAGCTTGAAACCTGGACCTTCCATGGTTGATTACCAAGACTACATGAAGTCCCCTCTGAACGTTTCCTCAAAGATGTGAATGCAGCATTACGGAAAATCCCTCCTTCGACTATTATGGTAACCAAACAGCTAATCAACACCACGACAGCAGTGATGACTGAGATGCTTAGCTATAAGACAAACAGCCGCAAGGAGCCGTACCCTCCATGGAGAAGGAGACTAGAGGCCAAGCTCAAGGCAGCACGGAGTTAAGTTAGTGTGTTTTCATTACGCTATCAGTACTCCTATTTAGACAAAGGATTTTAATGTTTCTTCCACCCTGGGTGGCTTGTAATTCAAAATGCTAGCAAAGGAACTTCAAGAAAACTTTGTTATCACAGTACTGATCATTTACTTCTGTATTAATGCATACTGTTCAAAATAACTGTAATCTAATCCTGTAACATTAATCCTTTTGCATTTGTGTTGTAAGAGCTTTTGAATGTAACTATCACTAGTGCTGGTGATGCATGAACCCAATTCACTCACCATTCTCCCAGGAATTCCCATACTTCCTTTGCCACCCTAATGTCCAATGCAAATTAAGAAGGAACAGGAGTCAATCAGATGTTCTATAGGGATACCATGGCATTCAGACTTATCGTCTCTGCAACTCTCTCATTTGCAAGGAACTATGCTAATCTCATTTTTTCACTGATGCGTTATAGAAACAACGGTTGGTTCATGTTAGTGAGACGAATGTTAGCACATTTATATCCTAATGGAAGCCAAAACTAGAAAAGAGAATAACAAATTTAAAAGAGCTTAAATGCTTTGTTCTGACATCAGTTAGTAGCCAGGAGTCGTATGGAAACACAGCTAGCATTACTGCTACAAAAGCTTTTAAAGTTTTTAATGTCATGGTATTCCTTTAAGGAAGATGATCATTTTTGTTATTCAGAATAACCAATTCAACATGCCATGCCCAAATTATGGGAGCAGAAAGAAGATCACTGTGAAAAACAATCACATAATTATCAAATAATCATGCCTCATTCAACACTGCAAAGTTCAAGATGAAAGACGATGGAAGAAAGTTGCAGTAATTTCTTATGTCATTAGAAGAAAGTTATTAGTAGCCCTGTTACTTTGTTACACTTTTCCATCTTATATCTCCAGACAGTGTTACGGTAAGGGCAGCGGGTTGAAAACCACCTGAGATAGGAAGTCATGATTGGGTGATTAGCCAGGTTTTAGCTTCAGATCAGGGCTTTGATTCCTAAATCTATTTTTACATGTGTATAGTATAAAGTCTGATTGTTCCAAGATGATAGTGTAGTTTATATTTACTAAATGTTCATCCAATGACATAAAGACACACTGTTGCCTTTTGCAGTCTAACCTAGGTGTTTGGGGTTTTTTAATTTACCAAACTTTAACAAAAAAAAAAAAAATGTTTCTCTGACTTAGTTGTGAGCTGACAGCATGATTCTGCAACTATTCAATGCAATAATGCTTGTTAATAATTCCTGTTCAAGGTCCCGATTTAAATCAGGGCTTTGGGGAGAATCTGGCACCGCCAAAACTGCATTTAGTTTAATCTGGACCTGGAGTCTTTAAAGTGCCCAACATGATTATTTGCTGGAACCACAGAGTACAACATTCATTATAGTAAAGTGAGGTGAATTGGGTGTTTGGTAAAATCTCATCCAATTCTTATTCTTAATTTTTATTCTTATCTTATTCTTATTTTTATTTTCATGTCTATTTAAGTGTAATTTATGACAGTATGTTTGCACTGAAGCACCGCAGCACTTTCCTAATGTTGTAAACCTGCTCAACATTTGGCAATAAAACCCTTTCGCCGATCGTGGCTCAAGAGTTGGGAGTTCGCCTTGTAATCGGAAGGTTGCCGGTTCGAGCCCCGGCTCGGACAGTCTCGGTCGTTGTGTCCTTGGGCAAGACACTTCACCCGTTGCCTACTGGTGGTGGTCAGAGGGCGCCAGTGTCCGGCAGCCTCGCCTCTGTCAGTGCGCCCCAGGGTGGCTGTGGCTACAATGTAGCTTGCCATCACCAGTGTGTGAATGGGTGGATGACTGGATATGTAAAGCGCTTTGGGGTCCTTAGGGACTAGTAAAGCGCTATATAAATACAGGCCATTTACCATTTCTGATTCTGAATTCATTTTTTGCAAAGAGGGAAATGTGATTGCTGCAACGGTCATGTACACCCTGTTTCTGCCTTTCCTAGTCAGCTACATACACACTCACACTTGCATATATACTAACAGAAAACACATGCTTGCATGTACATACTTCCATATGTGTATGACACATTAAAAGTAAGCTTTGCGCTGGAGAATGGACGTTTTAATCAAAAAGACCAAGAGCTGGACAGGTGCGCAATCACAGCACACAGTGTTACAAATGGATACTGTTAGGGTGTGTGTGCTATTCAACTGCTGTACTGACATCTCTGAAACTTTTCATCATATAAGTGATAAAAACTGCAAAGTTCACTGCAATAGTACATCTATACTGGTGTATTTGTATTCCAGGTTCTGTAAGGATGTGCACAAGTTGGTAGTCTAACCTTTTCAAATCCTGATTTCTGGGAAACAGTCCTTTAAAGACTATTTAAAGACTATTAAGATAACGGTGTGTTATTATCTTGATTTTCATTAAAGTTTCATTAAACTGTGACAAAATCAACAAGCAACAACAAGTAGTAATTTGCACATTTCATTCTGAACTAGCAGCTGAGATGTTAATACTCCACCACTCGCACATCAATACTATGCATGAGGACACACAAAGAGACAGGTTAAAACAAGTTACCGGAAAGCCTGCTCGTCCAGGAGGACCCTGAAAAAAGCACGAGACAAAATTAGTATGACAAGAAGAGTACATTTTACAGACAAAATTAACATAATGAAAGACACCTGCACTTAATCAGGCCAGAATAAAATCAGTAGTAATGACTGGAGGGGCTGTTTACTACCTTACGGCAAGGGAATCGTTTATTTTGGCCTGTTCACTGACAGCACAAAGTATCCTGCTGATGCACTAACATCACAACATTCAATGAATTAAAAAAAAAAGTTTAACTGTTTGAACATAAGTTTTAATGTAAAACAACAGTTTTCACCACATAGCCTCATGCAAGGGTTGTTTTTGGAAGAACTTGTAGTTTCCATGCTTCTGCAAAACAAAGCCCTCTGAGATCTCCTTAACTGCCCTTGCTCATCTTGTTATTCAGCTAATCCAAGCTACAATGGAGGTTTCCAGCATAGTGACTTCCATTATAAACAAATCACAAGGAACTAGAATACAATGGCTTTTATTTATGGGCTGGGACTAAGAACAAGAGGGAGCAAATTTTAAAAAAGTCAAGTGTGTTTTGCTTTCACAAAGGGAACGGAACTCAAATCAAGGCTTTTGAACTCCAATAAAGAAAGAATACAAAACAAATTAGCTGGAAGTCAAAAGTGGAACATATATTGGGGCATGAAACATGCTTTTTCTTAAAAAGCCATTAGTTCCATTAGGGCCTTCAGAGTATTATTATCCAACCACTGTGAGTTTAGAGAGTGTAATTAAAAGTGCTATAAAACACAATTAATGTGGAAAAACACCATTAAAGAGTCAGAACCAAAACAATCTGTAGCTAGTCCAAAATCAACAGGGTTGAACAGAACAATACTAATCATGAAATGACCAAACTGAAATGATACAATACTAAAGTCCTTTCATTTTTCTTATGAGGAAGCTGATACAGATATTGTCGAGAGTGTATGAGGATTGGTTGGTTAAGGATGTCTGTGAAGGTTCTCAGTCATCCAGGTCATAGTGATCTAAGAAACTTGGAAAGAAAGCAACTGGACTTCTTTAAGTTTCTTGAAGACATTTCAACTCTTATCCGAGAAGCTTCTTCAGTTCTAAAACCAAATGATGGTCAGCCCCAGATTAGTAGCCTTAGTGGGAGTTGGCCCTAATCAGGGTTGTTGACCCACTATTGATCATGTGCTTTATCACATGAGCCAAGATGTGAAAAGGGTGTGGAGTATTATTAGCAGAGGTTTCAGGTGAAACCATTGTGAGACCTTGCCTCACCCTATCATTTGAATTTTTGAGATCAGCAGACACAAGATCTGAGTGGACGCTAAGGCATCTGCGAAAGGATCTAAAAATTAGATTATAGATGGCAGGCGGCTGGTGTCGTAAGCCCCGCCCTCTGTTCAAAGATGATCGTTCACAGTGGACATAGATGACTTCTTTCACTCCTCTTTCAAACCATCTGTCTTCTCTGTCCAAATTGTGAACACTGGCATTTTCAAAGAGTGACCTTTGTCCTTTAGATGCAGATGGACTGCTGAGTCTTGTGACTGTGTGGTTTTTCAAATGTAGAGGTCTGAGCCCTCGTCGCTGCATTGCATGCTATAGCGTTGTCATGTTGATAAAACCAGTCGTTACCACACAGATGAGGGCCCTCAGTCATGAGTGATGCTCTTTGCAACATCTGGACATAGCCAGCAGCTACTTGATGCCCCTGCACCTCCTGAAGCTCTATTGCTCAACTGAAGGAAATTATGGCATCCCCTCCACTGTGGAGCATAGAGAACATCTCAGATGGGATCTGCTTGTCATGCCAGTAACGTTGGAAGCCATCAGAACCATCAAGGTTACATTTGTTCTCATTAGACAATAAAACTTTCTCCTTTCAATGTCCCATGTTTGGTGCTCTCTTACAAAGTCCAAATGGTGAGTTCTGCAGCGTTCAAGGAGACGAGGCCTTTGAAGACGTTTTTTGTTTTTGAGGCCCTTCAAGTCTCAGATGCCATCTGATAGTTATGGGCCGCAGTTGGCACCAGAAACGCCCTTAATTTGGGTTGAGGATTGTCCAGTGTCTTGACGGAGAGCCAGTTGGATCCTCAGCTCTGTGCTGGTGAGATTTTTTTGGGTCTTCCTCTTGACTTTTTTGTTCCATAACCCTCAGGATCATTTAAGAAATTCCAAATGACTGTCTTACTTCCCATCTCAGCAGCGATGGTGCGCTGAGAGAGACCCTGCTTTTGCAGTTCAACAACCCGACATTCAAAAAGGGAACATTTGTTTGCCATCAGAACGTCATGATAGTGTGACTACCTGACAGAAAATGACAACAAATCCACATTCTTGCACAGATTTGGCCTTTTAAAGCATGTGGTCCTAAACTTTTGATCTGCTGTAAAACAGCCTGTTTCACTCCCATTTCTTCTTGTTGCATGTTGAAGTTCTACTTGGAACCTTGTTAAGATCCAAACATTAAAAATATGAATCATTTTTCAACTGATCTTGAACTTTTGACCAGGACTGTATTAACAATTGAATCCATTGGCAACAACTCAAGGTTCAGTATCTTGCACATGAATGCTTGCAGACGGGAGCAGCCAACCTTCCTATTAGTATGTTTTGATGCATGCTCAATCATCCAGGTAAGGAAATCCCAATAACAGTGATTCTGTTCATCTGGACGTAGCATTTTGTCACCCATCTAAGTGACTTCTGCAGGTTGCCAACCTTATAAACAGGACATTTGCATAAGGACTGAAACCAGCCCACTAATTGAACAATGGGCTGTGAGGTCAGTTCCTTGATCATTAATATTCAAATTGCCATGACCACTGATCAATGGTCATGAGTACCATTGACAGAGAGTTGGGCAATGGCTGCAATCACAGCATTGTAAGATGGTGACAGATGGACCCTTAGGCCCCTCCTCCATTCAGAGATTGTCTTTCCCTTTTCACGTAAACGGCCTCCTTGACTCCAAACCAGCGTTCCTCCCTGTCCAGGATGTTACATCCTCATCATTGAAAGAGTGTCCACTGGCCTGTAGGTGTAAATAGACTGCAGAGTCCTGACGAGGTAGCTCTTCTGTGTTCACCGATCAATAATCAGCGGTGTTAATGCCTTACAATTAAGCCATTAACTCCAATATTCCTCTGGTTCTCACTCTTCATCCCAAAATCTAACTACTCTCTGTTGAAGTGTCTAAAGTCAGTGATCCTGCACATCATGCCCACGTCCCAGTCTACACACCCCCCCACCTTTTCATTGTTACTCTTGTGTTTACAATAAAACTCATGAAATCGATTACTGTCTTCTGTTTGGTGTCTCACCGTTTGACACTAAACTAACCTCATGTGCAGTTTATGCTTCAGTTCTCTGCAGTGAAAGCTACTGAATGTATGAACAGTGGGGAGAGTAACATCAACAGAAGTAGCTGAAGATGTTGCTAAAGCTGGAAGCAGTAATTATTACATCCATCCATCTTCATCTGCTTATCCGGTTCAAAGTCATGTTGGTACTGGAACCTATGCCGGTGGCTAATTGTGTTATACATTTCCTTTGTTGTGGTTTTGCAATATTTCAGTCTTCTTTCCTTGTTTGGAGTCATGTTTTTCATGACTTTGTAAAGCTCTAATTTCTCTGTGGGTGCTAAAATACTTCTTTATCTAAAACATACGAGTTTTCCTTTTAATCAAAGTTTCAGTTTCAACTATTTGCCTGCATTCAGCTTTTCCTGCACAGACCTGCCAAGGGCCACAGGTCTAAGCTCCTTTATCATCAGTACTGTTAAAGTATGTGGACAGGCAGAAGTTACACAATGAAACTACAGATTACCACCGTATCCAGTCAAGCTTTACTGTCAGCAGATGTGTTCCAGGGGATTGTCCGTTTCATCTACTTGTCACCAAAATGTAAAAATAATCACTTTGAGTCACTTCATCATGTGGAGGTCACACAGCATCTGGTGTACTTACTGGAGGTCCTGCAAGACAGAGGGAGAAAGAGAGAGTGCTAAGTTTTTATGCAACCATGACAAAGATTCCAGTTAAACCAACAATGGTGTGCAACCAAAATACGTTTCTTAGAGTTGAGTATGAGCAGTGGAGCAACAATGCACTTTTCATGGAAGACTCAAGGTAACTCGAGTAAAAATATCTTTCTGCAGTGGATTCACACTTCAGTGTTAAATCTGTGCCATAATCCTCAGCATGCATACAAGATGTGACTAAATGTCACTGTTCACACGCTAAGGTATACATGGTGACAATGGCATTAGCTCCTTGTGTAGGCTACATCACAGGCTCTACGTAGTTCACTACAACAGTAGGAACCAGGCTTTTAGTTACACTTTTTATTGTCTGGCATGTTTCTGACATAAAATGAAACAAATGCTTGTTAAAAACTCCAAAATAATGTAACTGATTTTTCTATGAGTTAATCAAACATAACTTCTTGTCACTTTTCAACACCACAAGACGCCAATTATTGAGTTGTTTTCTGTCTAGTTACAGCAGTGGCACATGAACACTTTAATCTGTACACAAGTAACCAGATTAACAAGAAATCAAATGCTTCATGTAAACATTCAGAAGATTTTGGTCCGATCACACGTCACCGTTTTCTTCTAAACAAAGCGGATGAGTTATACCAATCGGTAATCAATAGATAAATAAAAAAATCTTTTGGCAATGCAAATAAGATTGATTGGTCAAAAATAGCATTTCTTTAGGGTCTCTAACCCTGTTTACGGAAACCTAGTGCATGTAATATAAAATACTCAAACATCAAGTGAATTTCTCATTGTCCACACATGGTAAAATTATTACGAAAATTCAACCCTTTCAGATTGTGCCAAGTTAATAAACTCGCATCACAGCCTGTCAGCTTTCAAACAGCCATAAAACAGGCCTTTCACAAAAACCGAATTATGTAGAAAGAGCCTGGGATCATTCAACAGAAAGTTACGACCAAAACCAGACACGGGTCACTGAAGATGTCGTCATGAGAGCCACAGCAAGATGAGGAAAACTCTCTGTGAAATGCAAATCCTCACTATTATTCAATCGATGTGCTCCTCAGACTACTCCATCCATACTTGGGTGCCTGCTGTCAGTGAAATTCAAATCCATACGAATTAAATACAATGGAAACAGACAGTTTAGGGTCTAAAATATACTGTTTATGTTGAGGAAATGATGACATTAAGTCACACCAGTTTAGAGTTTGAAGCTCGCATAAGAAGATGTTGTTTAAAAGGTTCCCCACTATTTTCTGTTACCATTGTGTCAACACAGCATGCAGACTGGTAGCCACCCCAAAGCTAAGGCGTTACAGCAATTTAAAAAGTCTTACTCTACCCTTCGCATGGCATCACAGTACACCACTCTCATTTTACACTGAATGTTTGGTCCACACAGGCAGCTTTATATTCTCACAGCTTTCACAAAGTCCTGTGTGTGTGTCTTCATCTAATTACAGGGACTACGTCAGAAAAATAATTGCATCTTTTCAGGGATGCAGAACAGACAGTGACAGCTCACTAAAATCACAGCAAACACCGTCAGCAGGTCTACATTTAAAACTAAACATTGTACTAAATAGTGAATAACGTAAATGCTTTATGACTTTCTCCTATTACAGGGGTCTGACAGAATAAATGTTGCTAATTTGTTATTTGCTAAGTGAATAACGTATTTTAAGAGACATAATTTTACATTTTTTTAAAAATTAGAGATATTTCATAAATCAACATCACATCATGTAATGTTGATTTATGAAATTTCATAACTTGAATTCCTACGATTTGATAAGATGATATTTGATTAATATTTTCTTTAGTTTTAAGTTAACTTCAGTTAAAACTGCATCATTTAGGGCCACAAAGAGCCAACTGTTGCATACTGTAAACACCCAGACCCTTTAAATTTAGAGGATTTTCTATTATGATATGAGATCTGGGTAATAAAGTCAAATTACGGCTGCTCCAGTCATTCCTACGATTGTGTTCCACATTTTTAAGGTTACCCTTTACCTCCCTCTCTCTATTTAAGGGTGTGGAAAGCAAACACGAAGGCAAGATTCTTGTTGCATTCTGGCCTGCCATCACATCCTGTTGGCTGGACCCACTCACCCAGGGGACATAGTGTAGAGCACCTTGATCCAAAGGCACTTTGAAAGGCCTGGGGAAGTGGGCTCAAATATAGCACATGAAGTGGCGCCCGTCAAACGAGCTCTGGGCACAACATGAAACAAAGTTTACAGTCATAAACAAACACACACACACACAAAAAGTGGAATTTATTTGACTGCATTGATATCATATTCCAAGCCTTGTCCTCTGCTGGGTTTAATCCCAACTATTGCTAACACCTGTTGTTTATGCTTATGTAAAAGCAGTGGCGGTTAGCTATGGTCAGAAATAACGATCTAATATTGCCCACCAGCGTTCAGATTCACAGGTGTTTCCCTTTCCCTTGTCTTATTAGACTCAGTCATTTACTGAAAAGGAAGTCTTTCAAGTTCTTAAAGTAACTACGCAAAAATACTGAGACTTGCTGCTATAATAAGATTTAAAACCATTACAAATATTGCCCCGTGCGCCCTGGTGTTTAGTTTGAGAAAATGTGCATAATTCAACACTTTACCTTAATAAAATCCCTTTATTCTCAGTTTATTGTTGTTTGATAACAAGTAATATGATGACTCTCTGTCCCAGAATATTGACCCAAGAATAGCCTGTGCAGTTTCAGTTGTCTAAATATCCAGATCCAAAAACCCACTTCCACTCCTGATATACCCTGTAGATCCACTGTTTCTCCCGTCAAACCACACAGTAGCAGCCATTTTTTGTTGGGCACTTCCTTTGCTCTTTCCCACCATCTGGTTGCCTTTATTTTCACCAGCTTCACTGGTCGGTAACCTGGTGTGTCATGCACTCGTTGCTATAACAAGATTTAAAACCATTACAAACTGGGGTCCTAATGAACTGTACTGTTGGAGATGTTGGTCTATGTTACTAAATCCCACTGACATCAAAGGTGAAACAAAGTGAAAAGCCTGTTTGTGTAATCACCCTCACAGCCAACCAATGATCACTCAACTACACATTTACAGATCTTTACATTTCTGCTTTGTTAATTCACTTTCATGCTTAAAGGATTTTCTGCAGCAGTTGTCTAAACAGTGAACGTCTGTCAGCCTAGCTCAGTAAAACGACTCCATTTCTTTTGCACCTTTTTCTGAAATCCCTACAGCCCATACACCCCTGAACATTTGAATCAAATCACAGCTACACTTCCCTCAAAGTGTTTATTATGTGAGGGATATGTCCTACAATAATACATAGAAATCAACAAACCTATGACCTGCTTTGGTGAAAATGACAAGAAAAAAAATCTAGAAAATATGATAAAGACGCAGAGCAAATGTTACTGTGTAACTAGTCTGTAAGGAAAACATTAAAACAGAAGTAACCATCAGATTGTATTATGTGAAGCAAATGACACCCTCGCTTTTAACAGGACGAGACTCAACCTGGTATTTAATCCAGGAATTTACAGGCTCAGTGCAGCAGTGAGTCAAAGCAACAGACACTCTACAGACATTATTAAACAACAGTGTTTACGTCACCCCACTCTCAGGGATTACACCTTCTTTCACCAGCACACCACTCACATTCTCGCTTGGACTAAACTTGTAGTTAGTTCAGCCATCGTGCACCAGTGTCTATCTCTGTGAGTCCCATCAGAGATTTAATACCTCTTTACTTAAAATCAAGAACTCTGTTAACTGGGGATAGTATTTAGAAAACAATGACCTGCCAGTAATATCTCCAAGTGTTCTTTGGGAAGGTGGAAAGGTAGTGTCGTGGGACAAAACAATATCTCACTGTTCTCATAAGAAAAATGAAGTAAAAATTAGAATTAGAAAAAAAAAATTGAATCTGCCTGGCCTTCCTCACCACACAAACATATAATTAGCATCCCGAGAAACTAAAACTAGAGTTAAATGACATAATTCAGGAGAAAAAACACTTTCTAGTTCAAAAGACTCAAACGTCTCTAAATTATCATGGAAAAATAAACCATCACCATTAGGTGTAAAAACTCCACGAAAGTCAAAACACGGAGGTCTAGAACATTTTTACTACTATTTCTCTTCTTATAGATGTTTCAGATTGGATCTAATCAAGTTTGCTCGACAGCCCATGGCCGGACCTAGAATAAGCTTTCTGTGATAAAGTAAAAATCTCTAATCTGCCTGTCATAATCCCAAGTATTAATGATCATAACTGCTTTAAAGCCTTAATATAAACACCTCTCTGACAGGCTGGTGGGAATTTCTTCCACCAGAAAATCTTCCCTGATTCACTGTAAACTTAGAGCCATTTGGACAATCCAGATATGTGCCAGAGAAAGAAAAAGCAAAAATGGTACGAAAAAAGAATAAAAATGTTATTCAAGATGGAAACTTGATTTCATTTCAGTAGGTTTCTTAAACACAAACAAATGAAATACATAATTCAGGAGAGATTTAATCTCAGCCAACTTTTTAAAATGTCAGTGCCCCCAACTCATCATTCAATCTCTCTCCCAACCACAGAGTGGGAGCAAGATCTTTTCATCGATCCAGATTTAAACTTCTGGACACAAATAAGTTTTTGTGTAGACAGGTTTGACACAATACTCTGACCATTATTCTGCTGCTTATCTGCTGGACACGAGAAGTTTAAAAAGACAAAACCAAACTGACAAGGCTCACAATGAACTGTTATTGACTCGTTTATGTGAACAAATATGTACAAAAGAACTTCCACACACAGTGAAAGACAGAAAGATGTAAGAGATTTTACCCAAAACGTCCAAGGAAAATAGATTTTTCTCAGCACCTTTGGCCAGGAAGCACCCAACTCCCACAGTGTAACCCAAGAGGGCCTCATTTGCTATAAAATAACCTTCAGGAGTCCACAGCCCTGCGTCATGA